ATTCGGTTTTAGAGGCCACCACAAATTTTTGTTTGGTTTTTGGGAATCGAACCAACGACCTTTTTTATCAGATTTTCGTATAAAAATTAAATGCAATATGCGATTTTGTTGGTATGCAACCAAAGGTGTTTCGTTGTAACTGAAATATAAATATATTCCAATAGCGGTAAAATGTTGATATTGTGACCGTTGAGTTATGGTCGTGCGTACAGATGAGCAAATAAAGATGGATGAACAGGAATGAAAGCAACCATGTGCAACGATTTCAAGCGGCTCAGAAACAGAGTATTAATGGATTCTGATGGACTCACGAGCCATATACATGGGGTAAGTACATTGGCGATGGAAGCATTTGTAATTTATATCTATATATTCTTATACAGGTGTAACCCGATGGACAAAGAAATAATATACGTTCTGGTATGATCTATGATAACCGCTACAATGGATACTTCCTTCGGGCAACTTCAGCGGCGTGATGGCGTTGAAGTCCGGACGACGATGTGGCCAAGTATTTGACCCGTGGATTGAACATCTGTCACCAGGTCGGATGGATGAATACTTCCTCCAGGGCAACTTCAGCGGCGTCATGGCGTTGAAGACCCTTTATAAAAACATGAAATGCCACCTCGACACTACTGTGGCCACGCTTATCTCAGCAAGAATACAGGGAGGGAGCATATATGCGCACTGTTCTTCGTGTGCGGGTACCGTTCTGGCTCTATCAAGAAGGTGAAGGCTCACCAGAAGGCAGCAAACATCGCCGCGGAGCTGGGAGAGTATTTACGGGACATAGTGGAGCATGAGTGATCGCCGACTCAGGGAATCATCCGGAGACATCTCTAAGCAGGTAGGTTAGCTCCTTCGACCCCACCTCAGGCTCAAGGCAATGGCTTTCACCGCAGGCTTGACCTCGATCGGCATATGCTCCCCAGTGCGCAGCCTGGACCACCCGACAGCATTCAGCCGAAGTAAACGATGGATACTTCCTACAGTGCAACTTCAGCGGCGTGATGGCGTTGAAGGTGCAGCACCTTGACATAATGAAGACTTGCAATACAATTCGCTGCTGGCAAACCCTCACCATCCAGTAGCAAGAATATTGCATTGGATTCGTAAAGAAGCTTAAGAAACTATACGTTGTAATAAATTTGCATGTAACGTGTTAAAAAAATTTATTTATATATTATAAAATTTAATTATTTTCTTTTGCTATGATTTTAGTGTAAATTACACTACAGTGAAACCTCGCTTAACGAGCACCTCTCATAACGAGCAAAATGAATTGTATGAAAAATGACTCGCTTAACGAGCGACGTAGTCACTACGATCCGAAATAATTTTAAAATGTTATTGTAGAAATTTTCGAAATATTCGGGATTATGGTTGTCGAGATTTTGATATAATCGGGATTTTGATAGACGGTATTTCGGTTGTCGGGCTTGTGATATAGACTCATATAGTATACTATACTAAATGTAGTATTATTAGCAGAAATACCAAAAGCATAGAGAGTCGACCAATTTCAGATACGTACACTGCGAATCTAAATGGAATAAATTTCTCAATCTTCAACCTGTTTCTGTCAGATCAACTGCTTCATGTAAATATGACTTTTAACAAGTGACGTATCAACATGTTGAAATTGACCTCTTCAACAATGAAAAAATTCTGCAAAAAAAAACATCAATAGGCTATCTAAAAGTCGCCGTCTAAATGTAAAAATTTAAAATAGTTTTTAACCATCAATATTTAAAAATAACTTGTTCTTTGCATACTATCGTGTCGTGTGCTAAGGCTCTAGCCATGGTGTCTCTTCTAGATCTTTCGGGACATTAAAAACATACTGTTTCATCGCTTTTTCGATTCTAATCAATGTTTGACAAACCGACAGCCTTGTTCAGTATGATTTCCAGACCAATCGGAACATTTGTCAATATGTATACGAAGCCTTTTACAAACACTGTAATAAATATGTAAGTATTAGTCATAAATCCAACGTATCATTGTCAAGCATGATTAACACTATTATAAATTATTTAGTAAAACAAGATAGGTCAGAAGAGAAAAAATACAGCAGCAGTGTTTTACATACTATGTGGTAAAAAAAAGGATGATGTTTTTTGCCTTAATAATCTAACGAAAATATTTAATGATTCGAATATTGCTACTTTTTTTTATTAAGAAAGATTTCGCATATCTTTCGTAATGAACCACAAAGTTTATAATTTTATAGCATTAGCATAATTGCAAGTAACAACAAAAAAATGAAAAAAATATCAATATTATTGATATAAAAAGAAAATTATTGAAATTTGGAAATTTAAGAAGAGAGAATACAGATTTGATGGTCTAGTTTTGAGTCAAGCAATAAATGATTTAAATATTGACATAATGACAATTATTAACTACAATGCTAAGTCGTTACAATACTAACGTTAATTTTGGTAGACTCGAGAGATGAGGTACTAATAATATATACTATAAACTAAAAATGAAATAAATTTGGAGCAAGTATTACACAATACTTTACAATGATTAGTTATTTTTTTGCTATATTTACTGTAGGAAAGTCAATTATAGAAGTATGAAATGTTATAAAGTCGACTTAAATAAATATCAAAGAAATGGAGAGATAGATTAATTAAATTATAAATTTTATGAAAAAGTAGCAAAACTTTATGAAACAATGACATAGTATTTGAGACTTTGGATGGTATCCAGGTACGACGCCTCGCGTTATAACATACAAATATACTTTTTTCCCATTCACACAAGGTGAAGCCACTGGGTTTACGTCATGCTCAATTTGTTTATAATACTTGTATCCATCCGCTTATTCTTCGTGGGGTTTTTGGGTCTTTGTACTTTTCGTATTTATTTATATAAAAAAAAGCTTATCGACAGAGATTATCAAAGAGGGGGTCGCAGAAAAATTGATGACAGTCGGGACTGGGTGTTTTTCTACACATACCTATTCTTCGTTGGTATAAATGAATGTAAAATACGATAGATGGTTAATATAATCAAAGTCTAAAGACAAAATATAATGTGTTTGTCTGAACTCAAGTTTGTAAAATGATGTGGCAGGTGCACAATCCGAGACTTCTCTTCTCCTCGTCATTTGTTATGCGAAACGTTGTTCGTTGAACGAGCCAAATATAAAATGCAGTTGAACCTCGCTTATCGAGCATAATCCGTTCTAGAATTTCCGGATTTTACTCTTATAATGAAATACTCGTATAATGAAACAATTTTCCCCATATAAACTAATGTAAAATACGATATTACGTTCCATGTCGGAAAAAAAATATGTAACCTGGTCTCGCTTTTTAATTATTTTGCTTTTCAAATCTATTGTTATTTTTATTCTTTCACTTTTTATTCGGAGACATGTAAGTGTTATTAATTTTTTCACAAATAACATATAAAAATACAAATAATATGTGAAATCGAGTTATGAAAATGATGTAGCAGACGCACAATGTGAGACTCCTTATGCGAATCATCGCTCGTTAAGCGAGTCATTTTTACAATTTATTTTGGGCTCGTTAAACGAGGTTCTCGTAAAGCGAGGTTCCACTGTATATTGTTTTGCTTGTAAATTATTTTCTACTAGTGTTTTGCGAGGGGCAGATGGATTTACAATCTATTAACAAATGACTTCAAACGGACACAATTTCCGCACTATAGGTTGTCATTGACAATTTAAAACTGAACTTTGGGTATAAATAACCTAAAGAATTGTTGAGTCTATTTTATATTTTACCCAAAATATTTTAGCTTTCCGAGAAACTTCCGATACTTTATCCACACCTGTCAATGGTATTCCTTTGGGTTTGATTGAATTAATTACAAAATTTGTTCCAGTTTTAAATGATCATGTAAATAGAACATCTATAAAAGGAGACCATTAATTCCACTCAATTAAAATAGAAAGTGCATTGTCAACAAATCATTTAAAAAAAAAATGAATATTTTTTCAAAAAGTATAGACATAGACAGAATTTGTAAATATAATTTACATAATTTAAATCTAAATGCACAAGTAATTATTTTATTTTATTAAAGGATGAGTTAACAATTTATAAAGTATTTTTTGATATCTGCATTAGTACCATTTTAAAATACAGTGAAACCTCGCTTAACGAGTTTAATCCGTTCCAAAATTTCCAGATTTTTACTCTTATAGTGAAACATATTCAAAAATACACATATGTGTACACAGGTTTTAAAAATGATGTAGCAGGCGCACAATCCGGGACTTCTCTTCTCATCGTCACTCGTTATGAGAAACGTCGCTCGTTAAACGAGTCATGTTTCTTACAATTCATTTTGCTCGTTAAGCGAGGTTCCACTGTATATGAATAAAATTGAAAATATGGATGATCAAAATTTGTTGAAATGTTGTCGAGATTTCCATCTCTATTTAAAATAGATGTATTTAAAAAGTTGAGATGTTCTGAAGGAATATTTTTTCTTAAATTTTGCATTGAAAAATATTAAGTAATGTTTATTAATATTTAGATTATGTTTTTGGTGTTGAATAATTTTGAAACGCCGGCCTTGACAATATCATTAGAAAAAAAATCGATATAAATTACGCATTTTTAATTAATTTAATAAAATGCCACTCTCTTTCTGTTTTCTTTTTATATCTGATTATTGTCCCATTTGACGACCAAGAAATCTGGCAACCCCTAGTTCTAAACAAAATATTTTAAATTCTTTAACTTTAATTATTTTCGCTAATTTAATTCGCATCAATAAATGTTGTTAATTTCAGAAATGATTATACTAATTTATAAAAGTCAATCATCTTTTATAAATTAGTATAATCATTTCTGAAATAAAAAAAAACTTTTTGCTGTAGTTGCATGTGGCTTCAGGTATTAATTAATTAATTTAAATATGGAATAAACAAGTTAATATAATATTTATACTATTAATTAATTAACTTACTTATTTAATATTTTTCTTAAGATAAATAACAAAGTAAATAATGATTTAAATAATGTTTAATTGATACAAGGAAATAAAAATACATTGTCTGCTCATTTAAGGACATAATATCTAAAAAAGCAATTACGCATTTTTAATCTTCTTAGGAAGCAATTGCATTTGAAGATTCCATATTAAGATAGTAGATTCCTGCAGTTAACAACACTTTGGCTTATAATAATCATAAAAAATATCTATCTGCTACAAAAATAAAGCCATATTCATTAACTAGCAATAATTAAATAAACTGGTACTCTTTAAATAATTTACTCTATTTTAACAATCATCAATAAGGCACAATTGAATTAAAACTGTTTTAAATATATCAATCATCAGCAAGCTGGACTAGAAAGTAAACCATATTAGATATTGGATGGTATTGTATAACTGCAAAAGTTGCTTGTAATATTTGCTGGATTCAGTCTCAACAACTAATCTCTTCAATACTGGAACTTTATTGTAATACATAATACTTTGGTTGGGGTCACAATTGGTGAGAATGCCATTGATATCTTTCACATTCTCAAACATTTCCTTAACTCCATCGCAATCAATCAAAGTCAGCTTCTTGTCAAAGCAAATGCGAATCTCGCTCAAAAGTAGCGCCTTTAATTTCTTGTCCCAAACGCATTCCACCACTGGATTCTTATGCATTAGTTTCTTGATGGCCCCATATATTTCATAAATGTTGTAACCTTTAGAATCAGGCTTGATGTTGGCCTTTGCTAATATATTGCCCATTCCATACAGTTGGATCCATTGCAGCCCAGTTTTGAAATAATTTAACTCATTGTTCAAAGAATCGAGTTCAGCAGCACATGTGCCATGCTTGGACCATTCATGTTGCCAAAATGAATAAGGTGGAGTGTTTGCCTCGATATTGATCCAGTACACTTGCAGTTCATTCAATATAGGAGACAGCTTTTTTGGTTCGAATGGCCAAGAATTATTGCAATATGCAGGTCCTATGGTTCCCATCCTAGTTGGCCAAACACCATGGACTGTCCACAGATTCTTCTTTGGTGGTAGCCTGCATTCATTGTCCACCTTCGACTCCTGCCACTCAGTGCAAACAGTTATTGGCCAATGTTGAGTAAATATCAACAAATCCCACTCATTGTTGTTTCCCAATGTTAAACTATAAGCATTCAAATTACTAATAATCTAAAATATACATTAACAAATACTCACCGTACGTTAATTGTTAAAAATGCGCACAAAATGCAGAAGAGCAACATCATTTCTCGTAGTCGACATTCGTTCTATGCGGCAAGGTTTTTCTCTATTTTTATTTTCAACGAATCAGCTGTTCCCCCTCGACTATGACGTACCAACAAAATATAGAGAAACATGAAAAACAAAACAAAGAAAACTTGTTTCAGTACATTAATTTATTGAATGGTGCACTTAATATAAGTCAGTAACAAATTATCATTAAAATGATTCTAATTAATTTATATTTACTATATAATGAACAATATTTCTTGCAGATTTCAAAATTGATTCAAAATTTAAAAAAAATCTTTTAATATCTTTAGTATAATTAAAATCTTTAATTGGAATAATTATTGAATAATTGATGATGATTTAGTACATTAAAGTCGGTAATGTAGATTTCTATTTAATTAGATTTAATTATTGCAATGTTTTCAGAACCTGATTTAAATTACATTAATGAAGCGCTCATTGCAAATTTGGCTTAGTGTATAATTAAAATAAATTAATCAAAAAAAAATCAAAAGGTTAGTCTGAATCTGATCAAAGAAATAATCAAATAGAAATTAGGTCAATTAGTAATTGTTAGAATTGATGCATTATAATTAGGTGGAAAAGGTGGAAATTAAAGAGTATTTCAAACAATAAACATTTATTACTCAAAACAAAGAAAAATATACAATAATTACATCTATAAATAACTTAATGGTGACAGTACCATTTGACAGCTGTCAATGAGATTTGGTAAACTGGGTTAACTGTCAGAGATATACAAGAACATGAAGGGAAAAATAAGTGCACAGGGACATGCAAGAAGCATTGTACTCCATGTATAACCCTAAGCAATTCTTTCCTTATATGAATAAAAACGATATTGAACGGAAGTTCAGTGCAGGCTGAAGTTAGCCACACATTTAGTGCACTCCAACAGGTGTCGGGAACCGAACCTACCAGAGCACCTGATGAAGTACAATAGGCATGTGACAGTTTGCGAATCTGACAGAAAACTGCAATGAACTTTCAAAATGGTGGCCAGACGGTGGAAAATTCCCGTTAAGACAGAGGGCGTTCGCGGACACTATTCTCTCTAGATATTTTTTTTGTAAGCAAAAACATAATTAACCATAAAACAGAAGAGATCCTAGATAAATCCTGGCAATTCTTTTGAAGATCATGATGTCGTGGCTGGTTGTTGTACGGCACCATACCTCAGCGCGCGCTACTTCAGGTACCTGACTAGTTGAAAGTTAAAAACACAGTCCAAGTACCGAAGTAACACGCGTTGAAGCAGGCGCCCATATTCTCTAGAGTCCAATGTTAGAAAGAGAGACTGAATAAGGCAGAGAGGAATGAGAGAAAGGCTAAAAAAAATAATTAAAAAATAATATTAATAATTTTCAACTTCAGCGTATGGTTTGTGTGTACGGTTACTATTTTATTATAATTTATTAATTATATTTTCTTTTTAGAGGCGAATTTTAGAAAATAGAAAGTATGTGGCCTTATTCCAAGGTTTTGCCAATAAATTAGCAAATTGGACACAAGGCCGTCACCGGCGGCAACGCACACACACTTATAAGTGAGCGAGTGGAGAACACACTTACACATAGCCACGTGACGTCACTACTATCGAAAAGAAACCGGATGAGTGATTCGCCGGAAATTGAACCAAGAAACATATATACGTGGGTATGTATACATCTGTCTCCCTCTTGTAGCCGCACTGGGTGGTGGTAATTTGGTATATGCCGAATAATGATTACGGGATGGTCGCTGCGATATATCTTTGGGTTCGGTTCACCGCACACCGTGACTTTTCGTTCCGAAGTAAAATTGTATTTTCGAGTTGCAATTCATTCTCTTTATCCCTCTCCATTCTCTCTTTCTCTCTACTTCCGTTTCAATGCTTTGAATGGTCTTGGCAAAGAAGAAATGAAAAACCACTGCAGAGGATATGTGAGGATGTGCGCTGCTGCCTAGTAGATCGGATGCCGGATTCGTACTGACTAGAGTTCGGCGATTGGTGTGCGCTGGCGAATGTACGGAATATTTGCCACTAGGCGCTGCGTGTTCAATCTGCGCCGATGGTGGTGGGGAGGGGCGATCGGGGGTGGTAGTCTGTCGGTCACCAATGGAGGCGTGCGAATCGTCCGAGGATGGCCGAGAGGAACCGAGCCGACGCGGCAGGCATGGAACGAACCCGTCTGGGTCCTTAACCTAACTTAACGGCCGCGACCGTCTGCCTCCCTCCCCTTTGAATCGACGGCAGCACGGCACGCTCGAAAACTCTCCCCGGTCTCTCGCACATACCACATCCACATATTTATTTATACTTGTATTTATACACACATTATATGTTATATGGAAGGAAGAAGGCCGGAGGAACAAACGAAATCCGCGTGCTGACGTCACTGGACGCCCCCGTGTCCAGTTGCTAAGGCGATCGCGGAGCGCCCCGCCAAGGTCGTCGGAAGGACGCGCATTCCTCACCGGCCGCAGCCCTATATGGCAGTCATACTCACCAATTCGCCAAAACATCTCACCATCTCTGATTCTTCTTGAACTGCTTGAGTTGCTGCCGCCGATGGATCCAGTAAACTGCAATCGCCACGTCTCCAAACCCAACCAACGGCCGACGAGAGAAAGATCCATTCATTCACTCGCTCGTTTTTTTTTTTTGGTAATAATTTAAAGGCGAAAAAATATTTGAAGCGAATCGAATAAAACTCTCGCTCTCCTTCCATCTCCCTGATAAGATAGCAATTTGCATACACGCACGCACGCAAATATATTGTAACTGAACGAAAATAGAAATAAATAATAAAAATAGAAAGGATATGACTGTTAATGAATATATTTTTTTCCAAGAACGAGATGGTTGTTTTCGCGGGGAAGAGGCGGAGAAGGAGAATATTCGCGATGCCCACTCCATTTTTTCGCCGGTCGTCGGACTATTTCTGAAATCCGGTAATCCTTGACTGGCGCTGCCGGCCAAGGAACAAAGGAGCTTCGAAGTCGCACGTTTCGGGGGGCGGCGGCACGCAAATTGGCTCTCCTCGAAATAGAGAGGCGTCCTCCTCTATTTGAATAATATCATATATAAAACCACACGAACAAAGAAATCTGATACCGACCGGACGTATCTTCCTTTTTTTTTAAATTCGAAGACGTTTATACAAGAAACAAATGATCTCTCTTGCACCGTCTCAATTCTTCCCGGCCGACGGTCATTGAATATGTGGGACGATGTTTGTTCTCATCAGCATTTTATTGTTGTTGTTGCTTCTCGCGTGAGAAAAGAACGTTTCGCCGAAATTGTTCTCATGTTTATTTAAGTTGTTTCTTTTTTATCTTGCCATTTTGGAGACTCGACACATTTATATAAATATATAGAGAGAGAAAGTGAATTCATTTATCTGAGTCTGCGATAATACAAAAGCCGATATGGAAATGTTTAGTTGGAACCGGAGAGAAAAGAAAACATCGATCACTGTCCCCAATTGTGTGGAATTTCCGTTATACGTTACAGTATATACGTGGCCAAAGATTAGGCGAAATTGCAATCGGAAAAGAAACAAGCCTAACTCGAAGAAACTAATAACATTTCGCAATGTTGCGTAATAATGGGGCGCGGATGGGTTTTCTTTTTTTGTTGTTGTGTTGTTCGGTGCGCGCTCGTGTGGGGCGGGGGTGGAGCGCCGCCGACGTCTAGACGGCGGCATTGACGTAGGGTAGGCGCGGGGGGTTGCTTCAGGATACGGTGGAGGGGTGGCGTTTGGTCTCGCGTTGGGAAAGGCCAGGGCCAGACGGGAAGCGAAGAGGGATGCGCCGCCGCTACTGCCTCCTCCTCTTTATCCGCCACCCCTCATGCGACGTGCACTCGCCGACCGTTGTTGAACCGAAAATCGATAAATTCGTTAATAATAGGTGCCACCCCCTGACATCGAATCTGCCCGTCCTTCGGCCCGTCAGCTGTTCTCTCTAGATTGCACAATATTTCAAACGCTTACCTATCTTTTTCCGCGACTTACAAGAGGACGATGTGTAATTTTAATATCCCAAGAAATCTCGATGCACATTTGTGTCCATTGGGTTGTCGAAGTTTTGGAAGTTGCTGACTTAGCAGCAGCGCACGTTGCACACGATGATCCCAGATGCATGCTGCAGAGGTGGTCCACAGACTGCTGTTGCTGTTCCTGTAGTTATCCATCCACCGGTTGCTGGTTGTTAATACGATCGCTTCGGGCAAGCAAACAGTGGTGTCTGATGGCCTGCTGCTGTGTCGTGGACGTCGAGAAGAAGAGGAGGCCGTTCACTTCGCCTTCGACCTCCTCTAACCGCACCGACTGGTGTGAGACGTTCGGCGACGGTGCGTCGCTCTTATCTACCACGCCCGTTCGGTTCGGTTACTAACTGGTTGCCATCCGACTATACGACGGGGACCGTAACCGTCGGCCGGAGGAGGGTAGGAGGGGGCGCGAATGCACGCTCTGCGTAATGCATCCATCCATCCATCCCACACCATACCACCCTTTCTACGAACCCGACTTTTCATTTCCACCCTTCATCTACCACCGTTTCATTCCGCTCACTCATCCAGACTTTTTTTTTTATTATTTTGTAGCAAAATTACACCATATTCAATAAATTTACTACTTCGGTAAAATAATCAATTCTGTACCTTGTACTTAAATGCGGAAGTCATAACTGGGAAATAGAAAGATTCATATTACTAAATTACTTACAATAGATTTATACTTGACTCATATATATGCTGGCTGACTAAGAACTTGGTTAATTTATAAAGTACTCAGCATTGTTTGTAAACTGTTAAATGGAATTGGATAAAGGTATTTTATCAATGATATCTAGTAATAAAGAATTCAAATGAACCACAAACAAAACGATAATAACTTAAAACATAATCTAATAACATTACTCATATTTAAGTTCTCTACTTAATAGTGAGTTTATATTTGCTTAGATTACAATAAACAGCAATTCAGGGACTTGTTGGAAGTCTCTTTATACTTTTAATATTTATTTATATAAAAGAGCGTACATAGTGTGTTTATATATTATAAATATGATCGGACACTATACATTTGTGTTTTGCATTTTCAGCAAACACAAATTATATTTGGAAAGTATAGTCCGCTCTAAACAAAGATGACAAGGAAAATCGAAGATGGTTAAAATATTCAAAAATATACATAATATGTGTTAAATGTTTGTTATGCGAAGTTCCACTGTATTAGGAATCATCCGTTAGCCCTTTGGCCAGCCTATTAATATACATTTTTTTTATTGTAAGTTAAAAATTTATTTATGTATAAATTGTACTTTTTTTTCTTCTTATGTATTGATGTTTGGCCAATAAATTATTATTATTTTTTTTTTAGGAATCATCTACCAACTAATATCATAATACTAAAATTATTTGAAGTTTTAGTATAACATTAGAATAAAAATTATCGCTTGTTACAAAGTTTCATTTATTTCTTAATTTTACACAAAACAATTTACTCTTCGCAAAGACAGGACCTTTTCACACTTAAATTCACGCCCATTGTATCACGGCTTTGGTAATAAATCATTGATCACAGCAAGGCCATATATCCAACTGACATATGACATATGTTTGTAAGACAGATGATCAATTGAAAATTTTTAGAATTTTAAATTTGTTCCCCCATTTGATGTCTTCCAAGAGGGAAAAAGCAAATTCTCCAATAATAAAAGTTTTCTGCATAACCCCCAGTTCAAAAGGTAGATAGATATATTAGGAATATGCAAAAAGTGAAACTAATTTAAATTCCACTAACATTAGACATGAGACAAAATTCTTATGTAAATTCATACTCAAAGTAGAATCATGCTTTTAAGGAGAAAGCATCACTTTGTCAATAAGTATTGACCAAAATGATCCAATTTAATAATCTCAAAGGCGTGCTCTTTTTTGTGGCAACGAAAGACAGAAAATAAAGCTTCAAGTCAATTATCCGGCAAAAGGGATGCCCAATAAAAATATTAGGTTTCAATTTTATGTCAAACTTTATGATGCGTCGTGCCCCTTCCTTTCGGTTTGCCATCGACATAACAAAAGAGAGAAGAAGAGGATGAGGAGGAGGACGAAAGAGAACAACAAAGAGGAGCGGGCTTTAATTTCAGGTATTCCGTAAAGTTATTTTGTTATGGCGATTTTATTGCGGCCGAAAAACGATGGCGGCCCGCATTCCGCGAACGCTGAAAACGGATGAGCGCAGAGTCCTTGATCCTCATTAAAATTGGAGCCAATTGCATTGTCAATTAGCGATCGCTAATTATTCCACATATTGCTCACAAAATATGGACGAACGATGAACGTTATTGTTAATGAGTAATGTTAATGGTAGTTGGAAGTATGAGTGTGTGTATGCGTCTATGTCTATGATTCAGGAGGTGTCCCGAAATTGATCGGAATGGGTGTTTCTCGCGAATTTTCCGGTTCGTGTCGTCGAAAAACATCCTTCGTCATCTAATTGTCGGTTGCCAGTGGGTATTTTTAAGACTCTCAAGCCGAGTCGCGCTACCAGTCGCTGCGTCTAGACGATTACGCTTTGCTAATGTGTATGTCTCTGTATGTGTGTAAGAGTTTGAGTGTGTGGCGCTAATAATATAAATAAATTCGGCGAAACAAAGCTAAGTAACTGCAGCGCACACACGAAAATATTTATTGCTGATGCGAAAATACAGTCCTCTTCTCATCCTCTCCTCTCCATCCATCCTAGGACTCTCAGTTCGTCTCTCTTATTCTGTCGCCGGTTGTTTTCTTTTGCTTTTGGGAAGAAATCCGCTTGGAATTTCCTCCTGTTGAAATTTTTGGGGCGAGCGAGCGGACAACGCAGACCTGTTTTTGTTGTTCGTCTCTCATTTCAGGTAGATCCGAAATGGGTATGGGTTTAGAGTAGGTAGGAAAGGCCGACCCGGCCACCTGTCCCATCCTCGAATGGCTTTGGGTAGATGTGTGTGTGTGTATATGCATGCATTCTGCAAAGTTGCGGAGAGGCTACAGCGACCTCCCCGAAAGTACCGAACGAAGAAGATGATGATGACGACGACACGTATCATGAATAACAACTTTTCGAATGTGCGATTTCGTACAGCGTTTTCTGCGGAAGTCGAAGCGTTCCTTATTAATTTCGAGGCCGCTAATTTTGCTGGGGAATCGCATTAGTTCCAACTCAGCGATCGTCGACTTAGGATTATTCGTACGTACATCTATCTCACACACATGCACCTCACCTGCCTCACCTCATTTTCTCCTCCCGTACTTTACTCGGACGAGACCTGGCCTCCCCCCAAGTCTAGACTTCCACACATTTACAATTTAAAATCATAAAATTACATCTATCCACCGCTTTTCTTTATTACATACATACTCATACGTCCATCTTCACCATAGAACCAACGGATTGAAGATACTAATCACTTACAAGTCAAACGTCGATCAAATCAGGAGATTCCATAGTGACACGAATCAAATACAAAAAACAAAATAAAAATCGCAATGATTCATTGTTTCCACAAAGTCGTCAACAATGCATTTATTTTTGTTGCGAACGTGGATAACGAAAAGTACGTTATACCGTCTGAATGGAAAACTTTACAACTGAACGAACATATTTTTTTTTCGCAAATATTGATTTACGAGTTTTACACCAATTCCAAATATTGAGACGCCGTTTATGAAACAATAAGGAAAGGAGCAAAGGAAACTGCGAAGGTCGTGGAAAAATGATATGAAAACGTGGACGCCAAACCCAATTTATTTTTCTATTAAATTAACGGGAAAGCACTGAAAGAGAAAGAAATACACAGACGATTGTAGTTTGAAGTGAAAAAGCAATTTGAAAACTTAATTATGTGCATAAAAATCGTTTGACCTACATCCTACAGAAAGGTTAATTTTCTTTTGCAGCCTCCTTATTATATGCATGCTCGCCGTTTTCTAAATATTGATATTTAGGTGGAGTATTTAGTTTGAAAGTTGAGATAAAAAGAAATTCAATTTAAAACTGATTTTAATTGTATGTCTATTTATAAGGAAGTTTTCTTTCTTATTAGTATTGTTATTTTGGTAATTATATGCACAACAGGCACACAAAGTGTAATTTGTCCAACATTTTTTTAACTTCGTTACTTTTAAACCATTTTGTGCCGCATACACGACTAAGAATGAAACCATTCCAATATATTCTTCAACCCTTATGGTAACCATTGGGAGAATAAGTACCTCTATTAACTCTTCTTTGACATGTGTCAAGATGGAAGTAGAATGGTTATCTAATGATATCGGTTGAAAAGGTTCGGACAACATATGGTGCAGATGATTGGAATGTTTACCTGAAAATGTATAGTTATTGTATGCAAAAAAAGGAGACGATGAAAATCCAAAAAAAAACAAAGTTGGTTATGTTTTAGGTAACCATGGGAAAATTGATTTAAAGTCACGATGGAGTGCGTTTGCATTTGCATTCAATCGATTTCTAGGAGTGCAGCACGTGTCGTCCTCGCCTCTGCTGCCCATGATGATGATGTTAAGAGATATTTTCGCACATAATAACCGGGGGTGGAAACAAACAGGGAGTCTTTGGTAAAACCATGCGGCGATGTGTGTCAGGGCTGTGCGACGTCAGTCGCCCACGGCTTGATCTGCCCACATGAGCTGCATCAGCATCAACGACCAACGGCAGCATCTCGTTGCACACCCACGCACTGCAGATAATTTATCGGTTTCTGCACAAATTCGAGGGTGGCTTCTTCTCGTCGAAGGAAGCGAGAGAACGGAACGGAATACGTTTTCGGTCGCATGGTAACATGCGAAGGTTAGTTGGTCGCCGCCAGTCGAAGCCGTCGCAGACGAGAGAGAGCCCCGGAGTCGACGAACTCCGCCGCCGCTGCCACCGTCGTCGTCGTCATGCACCGGATCATATGCCTGCTAATATTTCCAACTACCCAATTATTACGCTCATTATTAATATATTTAATTAACTATGTTCCTCCTTTCCTCTCCGACTCTCTATTGTTTTTCCTTTTGATCTCGCACGACCTCGCTCCATCTCCATCGCTTTATAAATGATCTGCTGCTAATTAAAGCTTTCTCATCGCTCGCCTGGGCCCCGAAATTAACACCGGAAACGTCGGATCCCTTCCGGAATTAACGAATTTAATTGCGAGTGGCCGGCCTACATCGATTGCCGTTATTGATGTTGAGGCGCCGCCGCTGCCGCCTCCACGACCTTCGCGCTGTCGTGCGCTGCGGCCGTCAGACTCGAGCCAAGCATGCGTCTCCGTCATCACCTATTTTGCAGATAATATAATACAACATCATCGAAAGCAAAAAACGAAGAAACTTTTTGCAATTACAACGACGAAATTCTGCATCTTATTAAGCAGCAGGAGGAGAGAAGTGAGAGAAGGACTTGAGTGTTCATGTGTGCTTTGCCTGAGTGCATGTGTGTGTTTGTGTGCGAGAGTGTGCGAAAGAGAAAGATAACACAAGAGCCGACGTATAAATCATTAATAGTCTAGACTTCGCTCTGCTGCCTTTGATGCGAACAAACCAAAGAACGAACGAACTGACCGAAGGTCGCTTTTGACCACATTTCCATCCACCGCTCCTCGGTCGTCGTCTCCATGCAGCAGGCAGATTTACACCGCGGTTTTATTGCTAATAATAATTTCCATTTGCTAGCGCGCGCGGTGTCTCGTGCACCAGCAAACCGGAGATGCATCTTTACATCTGCAGTTAAAGCTGTCCTTTTCCTTCCCCCGGTGATCCCGAAATGAATTGGACCTTGCCTTCCAAGTAGTGAAGGAAGTGTCGTCCCCGTAGGTCGGAGCCGACAAATATAGCCGGCTCCCTCGAGCAACTTCAAGGTCGGACCGCGTTCAATGTCGACGTCAGCGAGTCCGTAGATGGAAAGAAAGGAAACCTCTGCAAACACTTGGATGGGAGATGGAACGGTGATTCCAAGAACGCATATAAATATGTATGCGCGCCATATTTTAATGACTGCTGCAGCAAAGCCGACACATCTTTTTCTGCGCCGGCGACGAAAAACGTTTTCCTTCCTTTCGAAACGACCGATTTTTGCACCGCAGGTGTGACCTCAACTCACCTGCTGCTTACGTCGATCCCTATAATTTGAGACACATACTCCCTAATCAACGATCGCAAACCCTAAAAACGAACCGAAAAGAAGAATATGTATAACACCGTTTCAGTTTCTTTTTCTTTCGCTAATTATATATTAATCAACAACAACGCGATTCCCAATATTATAGTAATAATAATGGTAATAATAAGATATCTTACATAAAACAGGATTGTTCGATTGTCACCGCAAAAGGTCACATATAAATAAATTGTCAGTCGGAGAAGGGTGGCGTGCACTAACTGGGATTCGGCTGAGGAGGCACGAAGGGCGTCCACCGCAGGAACGCAGGATCGACCTCCTTCAGCAGGGATCCACGCTTTTTGACACGATCCACGTATTCGTCTAGCACGTCCTGCTTCTTGAGTATGATGTGTTTGCCTTTCCAGTACTTCATCATGCCGAGAGCCTGAAGAGTAGATACGATGTCCGTCGAGTGAATGGCCATCTCCTGGCTGATGTCCTTTACGGAGAGTTCAGTGCCGGCCCTCGAGCAGAGGTAACCCAGCAGCACGTCCTTCCAGTACGATCGGTAGGAAATCAGACCCAGATCGCTGAGTGGTTTCTCTGGAGATCCTATTTTTCCTTCGACCCTGGTCAGGAGATAGCCTACGAAAAAATAAATAAATCCAAAAATTACAGGATGCCCTCATTAACTTTATTATTTAAAGTTTCCGTCTGCATAGCTCCGAATTAATAGCCGTTAACCGGAGCACTTTTTCTATATTTTTTTGTACGTTGTATTTGGTTTATATGGTCATACTCTAATTGCTATTTTGGACTCACAGTTTAATTACCGTTGCGTTCCTTCCACAACCCCAGTAAATCCTTAATTAAACTTCTACCATTTACATAATTCATGGCATCTCAACTTTTTATATTTATTAAATTCAGAATTACTAACATAACTATAATTATCATATTTATTTTTCCCAAGCTAAAACACCAATAATATGCTGCGTATATCACTGTTATTTTATACGTATAAATTATATTATAATATTTATTTATTTTGTATAATTAGTTTGCGATGTACACATTATTATGTTTTTGTTTTGTCTATTTAGTATAATATTTTATTAATGATTTATACTTGGAATTCTCTAAAGAACTTAAATTTCTGTTCTTCGTAGTTGAATGTCATCAAATACTACAGTGTGTACCAATAATCCAGTTGTGATTTTTCTCGACAAAAACATAGACTTAACTTAAATATTATAATTTTGGTTATTAAAATAGTTGATGATACTTTACTAACAAAATTAATTAGTAGATATTGTAAAAAAAATCAACACTTTCCTTGATAATCGGCAAAGCGATTGTTGAAAATTAAAATGGCAATCAAAGCTGAAACCATGATGAATTGGATTATTCCGGTTTGGAAGCTCTAGCTCATCGCCATGTCGTAAATAATTAATTAGGCAGATATAGGTACGGTCGAGCGGTGTATCAACGGACGGACCGTTGATATACCTTAATTAATCGGGCCTTTTAGTTATATGAAAGTCGCACGAAGCAGGTGAGCAAGAAGAAGCCGTTGGCAGAAAACGGAAAATCTTCCGTGTGTAAAGTGAATGTAATTAGATTCCTGCGTGAAGCCGGACAGGTTGCAAATGCGATTGTGCGTACCTATCCATATTTTATTTTATTTCTTTTCTTTTTCATCAATAAAGCAAAATATATTTAAATATTAAGACAATCAAAGGATGTTGCGAGATATTTTAAACCCAGAAAATTAAATCTTTAAAATTTTTAATAATTTCTATTTTTTACCTAATGGATTGTAGTAGAAAAATGTTGAGCACCTATTTTATTTTTATCTTTATTTCTAGAGCGACTAATAGCCGAATGGTTAAGTCGCCCTACCCACGATTTGTGAGCCCTCTCGGTGCTTGTAGCAATAGGGTCATCGTTCATCACACATGGACAGTCATCAAATGAATGAGGTTCAGCATATGGACCTTCAGCCAAGTCGATGGACAATGACAACAGCAGATTTACAGTCAAAGGAAATAGTGGAATCGCAGAGCATCAATATACTACTGAAGTTACTCTACAAGACGACAGCCAACCAACAAATTAAAAAAATCAAAATCATCATAATGGTACCTATCAACCGCGATCTTAAATTTACTCAATGTTCACATTGATGAACAGATTGTGAATAAAATTATACGACATAAAAAAATCTTTATTTCTATACACTTCTTGCACATCCAAAATTAATGCAAGTAGATTCAAGAAGAAAGCAGGTTAAAGGAAATGAATGGACATATATATATACATTACGTATAGAAACATGACGTATGAATTGATAGTAAAATTAAGGTGACGTGACGTTGCCGTTACGTACAACTCGGAGTAGCCTTGATTCATCTATATGTCGCATGAATAAGATGAAGAAGAAGACGTGTGAATTGATAGTAAAATAAACGTTACGTGACGTCCGTGTAACTTACAGTGCGGAGAGTAGAAATACTACTATCAATGTTTTGTATACTATACACTAGTTTACTTTATCTTCAATGTATTATACAAAAATCTCACAATTTCTTGTTTTTTTTTCACTGTGTGTTTTCTATAACCATTCGTAACCATTACGTATACAACTTTATCAAATTTTGCATTAAGATCATTAATTAAGTTCACTAAGAAGTGATCCTAATTTTTAATACAAGTAGATTTTATAAGAAATACATTATTACTAACGTGTGGAATGATAGTAAGAAAAAATGTGATGTGGCAAAACTTTATTTAATTATCAGCATATCTTCTACAATTATTTCATAATAGGATTTTACTGTAAATTTTCTTGTAGTAACAATATTGATATTTCTTTCAATATGTTTGTTTTATGCAAGTTACATGTGAGGTAACGTCAACATGACGCTACGTATAATGCGAATTGGCCTTGATTCATCGACTTGTTGTCGCATGGAGAAGATGAGGGAGAAAGAAGCCTTTGGTAGAAGACGGTAAATCTTCCGTGTGTAAAGTGAATGTAATTAGATTCCTGCGTGAAGCCAGACAGGTCGCAAATTTGTGTGTGCGTGCGTGCGAGCGAACTAGGATCAGGTCGCGGCTTTGATGAAGGGGGATGGGATTGTTACTGCTTCTGCTAGCGTCGCCGCCGCCAAGTTTCGGGGGTTGGGGCACTGTCGACGTGATTGGGGTTGGATGGTATAGGCGGCGGCGGTGGTGGCACAGCAGCAGCATAAGCGACGATGGTGTGAGTTGAACAGTCTAGCCGGGTCAGAGACCCCCTCGTTGCGCGGCCGTTTATATGGATCCGTCTGCGGCCCAGACCTACCCCAATCCGTACAGAACTCACCACCGGGTGGTGGCAAGCCAAGGCGCGCGAAAGAGACAGATGGATAATACATATAACAGAGGCGAATATGCAAAGACTAAGGGGAGCAGATAGATATATACATTAAAAGAAAGGGAGATAGTGAGAACGAGAGAGAGAGAACGAGTCGAAGAGGGAAAGAGCTCACTCATGCTGAGCCGAGCCAATGCACCTACCACCACCTGTAACAGGCCAGGCCGTACACGCAAACCACTTCAAACTCTCCACGCTCCAAATCTTTCACGAATTATCCCATGCCTCTCCTTCTTCACTCTAATAGAAATCAGTTATTTAGCCCTTAAGCAGCTTTTTTTCTCTCGTTTGCTTTCTTAAAAATAAACCAGTTATTTTAAGTCCTTCCACAGACAAACAGTAACATAGATGATACTTCGCAATAAACATATATAAATTCTTAATATTTCTTTTAATTTTATTATCCAAATGTTCCAATCGACGCCGCAAGACACATACAAAATATCTAACAATTGTTATGCAGTTATCAAATATTCACAATTTAAACCAACGTCTCCCAACGACAAATATTTGTGCATTATAATCAGTCCTTGATTCATTCGCCCGAATTTTATTATGTCGAATATGATTATGCAGACGTTGCAGCTACTGCGATAATTATGAAGGGACAACATGTGCAAATACTAAAGTTATATAACCAAAATCAAGAACACATTTGCTTTGATTTGATTCAATTGGCTTTTGATTCAGCTAGTATTCATTTTAATTCATTAAACAAATGCCAATGATAATTTATTAATTTACAAAGAATGTATAATTTCAAAAAACGAAAGGTTCTACACCACACAATAAAAACAAGCGTTTTATGCATAGAAAATAGAAAGCAACACGAGTTCGCGCATTGCGCAATATCGTTACTTTCATATTATTCACTTGTTTTTTTTTTAAGCAAAAATTTGTTTGTTTTCTCTACTTCAACACACATAAACGAAAAATAATAATGATGTAAAAATGAAACGCTCGCGCCACCAAACCAAAATGTATGAAAGTGCATTCTCAACAAGAAAACGTTAATTCGTTAATTATTTTTCCTTTCTGCGAGGAAGCTTTCCTTTCCATTTTCTTCACCCCAATTAATCGTTCTTTTTGATACGGTATTTATTGGTTGGTAAATGAAAAGCGATGTAAATTAGTGGAAAAAAGAAAAGTCGAATATTCTCCCATGAAATGAACAGACATTTTGGTTTTTCTCATTTTGTACTGAAGCTTTCCATTTCATTTTCCTTTACTATAATTAAAATGTTCATTTTGTTGCTACAATAATTGATGAAAATAATAAAAATCAATGCAAATGAAAAAAAAAATCTATTATCATCCGACGCAATTAGACAATTAGAATTTATAAACTTATTAAATGTATGATTGTGACTGAAAGCGAGTTGAAGAAGATAAAGATTGTGAGATGCGGCGAAACTCTTTTTATTGACGAGTTTTAAAATTGCAAGTCGATTTAATTAATGGTGCAAAAATTGGTGGAAAGAGATCAGGAATAAAACATTTAAAAAAATATACGCGAATAACTATCGAGGATAAGAAATACTTCAAAGTTACTGCAACCAGATATAATTACAAGGAGAGTGTAGGCATTTCTTTGATGTTAAAACGAGTTGATAACTATATTAAATGCAAGGTATTGCTTTTGCTGATAAATTGGTAAAACAATTGCAGAACGATTTAGTTAATTGGTGCAAAAAAATGTAGGGTATTCCAGGAACGGTACAATTTTATATCTGTGAAAAGGATATAAAATAATTGAATGTTACTGTAACTGGGGAATATTACAAGGTGGAACATCCACTTTGATGTTCAAATTCTGAGAAATGTTTCAATCCTTTGTTCTTATTTTTTTTTCAGGAGCAGAATGCATATTGGAAATACAGTGGAACCTCGCTTAACGAACATAATCCGTTCCAAAATTTCAGGATTTTTATTCGTATAATGAAACAGCTTTCTCCATAAAAACTAATGTAAAATACGATAATGCGTTCCAAGCCGGAAAAAATGTATAACTTGGTCTTGATTTTTCATTATTTTCCTTTTCATATGTATGGTTATTTTTATTCTTTGGCTTTTTATTAAAAGGCATGCAAGTGTGGAACTAGAATGACTACTAACACCAGGAACTGTTTTCCCATTCACACACGGTGAAGTGAGTTTATATATGTTTTTATTACTTGTATCAATCTGGAGTATTGGTGGAGGTCCTTTTATAATTATTATATTTGTTACTAGAAATGGAATATATTTCAAATTAAAATTGTATGTGATAGAGAAAGGTCATGTTGACTTTGTTGTTAGAGGTCTTTGAATAATTGGTGATGACTTCTGCGTTTACTGAATTTATTGGACCCTTGGGAGGGGAGACGGTGTTATTTGTGCTGATAGCGAACGTGTGTGTGTAAATAAGTAAATGAATATGGCGAGGACAACAAGGCTGTTGAAATTGCTAGTAATATTAATTAGTAGAGTGCGTATTCAACTACTTGTAGGTCGAATTAATAGTGGTTGTGGTTGTAATAGTAATAGTAGTAGTAACAGTAGTTGATGTTGTAGTAGAAGTAGCAGCAGCAGCACATTAATGACTATTATATCTGCAGCTGAAGAGTGTGGGTAATGCCGTGGGCGGGAGTGACGGCGGAGGAGGAGACGGAGGCGGCGGTTCCAGTGGAGGTGGCGACGACGCTGGTGTGGGAGGTCGCTGCGACGTGCGGGCGACGGTGTATTGACCCGACGACGGCCCGGTCGATACCGACGTCTGGCGCCACGACGTACTAGTAAAGCGTCGCGGCGGCGGCGGCAGCGATGTTGGTGGTAGCAACGGCGTCAATGGATGATGACGTCACACTACGGCGAGTCCACCGCCGCCGCCCCCCGTAGGAGAGCGGCCGTCGGCCAATTAGCAACTATATGCTCACTTTGCATACGACCCGATGTCCTACCAGCAACCACCACCCCGCGAGTTTATTTTTTCCTCGGCCCGGCCCCTTCTTTTGCGCGACGAAATAATTACGAACGCCGCACCTCGTTATATGCAAGAAAGACGCCACCCACTCGCAACAATCAACCCCGATCGTCTTTCTCTTTCCGCCGTTCACGCGCTCTTTGCATGCAATTCTCCACCCTCGCGCAATATTTTTTTTCAGCAACTGTTTTGCTTTTTCCACTTTCCTAGTACTACACTACACCTTTAGTATTTATGAATTACTTACTGAAGTCAATCAAAAGCCTGCCGTATCCTTGCCTCTGGTATGGTGGTAACGTCAGAATGCAGGACACGTTGTAATTCAAAAACGAATTCTTTTCCTAGAAAAAAAAAACAATACAAATCAAAACAATTAGTACACTTCATTAATTTGACAATAGGTAATAAATGTTAAGAATTCGCCAGATAAGCAGAGACGATATTAAAAATATTCAAGAAGTTATCCAAATGATGTTGATAAACAAGTATTTAACAAGCGATATTCATTAAACTAATTATAATGAAATGACTTTTTATCTTCATGACTTACATTTTAATATAATAATGTGTAAATATTTATTTATAAATAAATTATGTTTTAAAATTTAGTAAGTTAACACTTTGAAGGGACAGAAAATCCTAAATTTCTAGACAACTGAATCAGACAAGTTCGTCAACAGAATCAACATTGGACGGTATGGCCTATCAAAATTCATCCCTACATACCAATACTAGGCTTGTTCAATTTAAAAGACCCAAAAACTAAATATTTCAATAATATTTAGTTTTTAAAATATGAAATGAATACAAATTCGATATTTTGAATCCGAATATTTCCTTCAATTTTCTTGTAAACACTAGAAACAGAATTGTTATTTCATTATCTGGTGATAACAATGTCGAACGAATTAAAAACATTTTATTTTCACAATTTTCTTTCTAACACATTGAAACCATCTACTTTACATAGATAAGATTATAATGTAAATATTTTTCAAAAACATTAAGGTTTACTAATTATTACACTTTTAAGTCGATGAGACAATTAATAATACTTTAACATAACTTCTAACTAAATAATCTAATCTAGCAGTTGTTGTATAATTACGCAAAACAATTTTATAAACAACATTACAATATTTTCACGTAACGTTGCCAATCTGTAACGTTACCTGCAAAATCCATTATTATTGGTAGGAAGGTTTATATCTCGATTATTTTGAATGCTCTCAAATTTTAATTATATCCGATATACAACATATGTTATAAGATATATTATGTCTGGAGACTTAATTTACTGAGACTGAATTTCGACGTGGTCTTATTTTCGTCGCATTCGATTTCGATTTTTCCCATGAGATGAGCAACAACTATACAGCTTTTCTTGCAGCTGCAAAATGCAGCAGTTCGCAAAGAATCAAAGGAGCAAAGCGCGCGAATGTAATAAGATTCGCGCTATCTCTGAAATCGATAATTACACTGCGCGTCGGATACATGTATATATGAGTGTGCTCATAATGGCCGCAGCCGCATAACGAGATTTTTCCGCCCGAAGTAAAATTGACCATAACCACGGGCATTCCTCGTAATCCCGACGCTTTTCATTGCAAATTCCCCCCTTTTCAGGTTTCATTTTATCGATGATAGAAGCCAAGCTCGTTTCGCTTATTATCGGGCTATCAATTAACCGGAAATTCCTCGACGGCCTATCTGCTGCTTCGCAGATGACACTTCGGCTATCGTTGTTTATCGTTATTTAGAAGGAAGTACTATATTACATGTTACACGTGTCCGATTAGACGAAGGGTATTGAAATGTCGCCATGGTTGAGGCCCCAAATCCATTGTGAACGAGTACAGCAGAAACTATTTCAATACAGAATGTATGTTAGCAGTGAAACTGTTCAAATTGCCGTACGCTAACTGAACATAATTCAAATATTAAAAAAAATGGTAAACAATTCTCTTCTCGTTCGCACAAACGTACTCCAATTTTAAAGAACGTACACTTTGTTGTCTTATCTCTGAATAATATCCTTGAAATTCACGTACTTGTAAATGGAATACTTGTTTCAATTATAGTTCATGTTAATTATTTTTTACCTTAAACATTTTTTGGAGAAAAAAAACAGTTAATCAGACCGTTATATTTAAAGGGTCTTAATTAATTATGAACGTATTGTCGAACGTACGTATAAAGGATGTACGTTAAATTAAGCATTGACTGTATTTTAATACGTTGGAAGAATAAAATACGAACCACTAGAAATGAATTGTGTGCAGAACGCAATCAATATACAAGCAAACACATACACGAGGAGACTTGTTTGCGTATGATTTTCCATTTCCGGGAAAGCTCGATAAAGATGCTCGCATACGCAGTCACTGCATTCTGGAAAACGTTAGGAATGCCATGTGATTCGTGCTGCGCGGATCCCGGAAAGAGGATTTACAGTTGCACAGCAAAGTTGCTATTTAGCCAGAGTTTCTCAACCTACGACGAGTAGCGTTAAATTATCGTTGGTTGCGATAAGAGGATTTTATTTTTGGCACATACAAAAAGTATACAATAAATTCCAGTATTATGTAATACGATGTGTCGAAAAGATGCAATAAAACTGGTTTACATCTTCTTTTTAATTTATGAGTGGTCGTAAAAAATCGATATGAAAATCCATTGCATTGACCCACGATCATCAAAAGGATAATAAAAAAAGAATAAGTGTTGTGGCAGTGATAACAAAAATCATACAGATAAAGAACATTGCACATCTAAATTTAATAACTCTCTTCGAGTAGCTTTGACATTTTAAATTAGTAAAAATATTGAAACAAAATCATTTTTCAAACATAATATGTAAAGTAAAACAATTCAGTCTATAAGTTGGTTTTCAAGAGAAATACTTCTGAAATTATATCAATTTCTAAATGAAATTGTTGTAGAAGACATTTGTTGTAGAAATATGCGTATATGTTACATTACACGTGTTGAAGTTATATTGAAATATGCATAATTTTATTTATTTGTATAATATTCAGTCTTCCATAAAATATAAACATTTATGTGGTGAATAAATATGTTTATATAAAGGTTGAGAAATGATTTGGATGATATGCAAAAATTCTATTTCAAACGAAGAGAGTCATAGGAAATATTTGCAAAATTGAGAGTTTGAGTCATAAATGTAAAAGGCAGATAACGTTTTCTACGTTATCAGAGAAAACACGTTGAGTCACCGATTTCGTTTGTTAGGCACACGCCGCTCTTGCTGGAGACGGTGAAAGGAGGTGGAGGAAATAATCGAGTTGCATAATTATGTTATCAATTAAATGGAAGTGAGTTGACCTTTTGCACATCAAACTCATTAGCTCTGCAATAATGTGATACTGTGTAAATTGGACATAGAGAGAGAGACACACACACAGAGAAATATCTAATTGACGTCAGGGCTGTGACGTTGTAGCGGATGTGTTTTGTTTGAATTTGCGTCGTCGTAATATCTGATACGTTGTGCGTGGGCGGCTGATGGGGGTTCGTGGTGGTGGTGGTTGTCAGGAGACAATGACAGACGTTGCTGTTGCGGAGGGCGGGCGGTGTATGGTAGGTTTTGAACGTAAGTAAGGACGGATGATGTGGGTTAGGGTGTGAGGGGGCGGCTATACGTTGGCAGGCAGCGAAACGCGCCAGAATCAATATCCACGTCCCAAAATTGCTCTCTATCTGGAGGGCCGGGGTCCCTAGGTGGACGGGGGGCGCATTTCGCTGCTGCAGTGCGGATTTGTTGACCGGGTGGCGGAGGCGGCCTAACAATCTCCAACACCACCGCCCCCCCATATCCGCAGACGCACGTATTTGCAACATCTACAACAACAATAACAACGCACACCGATCTCACCTTATTTTGCGGCACGGGTCCTCGTCGAAAATCAATTAAACCGCGGCGCCATCAAGGTTACTGCTTATAATTTGGTTTCGACACAATTAACACGCCAATTATGTACACGTATTCCCACTTGATTGCAGCAAAACCGGCAGAGAAAACAAAGTGAACGAATAAAGAATAGATCGAAGGAAACACGTCGTTGCATAACAAGGACCGTCGAAAAAATGTATTGTATTTTATGGGCTGCGTTTCTCACGCCATGGAATTTCATATTCGCCATTAAAAATCCACCTCGGATTTTGGAACAGCAAACAAAAAGACACAATAGCTTAATTTATTCAATCGTTGAAAATATCATTACTTCTATTTTTTATTTACTGATGAGACTAATTTAGGTATTGCATCAAATACCCTAATAATCCGTGTATGGATTTATGTTAACTCAAAACTTATTTTTACTGATTTAATGGTTTAAACTTGCTTTTCAGCAAGATAATTATGTGTAAGAAAATTGTTTTCCAATTCGCATCGATATAAATTTAGGGCCCTCAAATAGTATATCTAAATGGTGTTAGGGCTCACGACTTTCTTAATGTGGTCCTCCGAGAACCGACATTATCCATTTTTTGTAACTGTTGTTTAGGACTCGATGATCTTCTCTATTTCAAATCAATGTGAGCCTCAAATAAAAATTTGTTTGCGAACCTCTCTACTTAAACAACTCCCGAGCGATTCAGGGGCCCATTAATATTTTGCAGAGGAGACAAATATTTAAAGTTCTGCCACTGAATGGATCTATATCTTTTCGTAAGAAGTGGCGTATTTTTTTGGCGAAAATGGGTATATATCAGATTCGTTCTATGTAAGTTACCCTTCATTCAAATTGAAATTTTCAATCCATTTTCGTCTACAAATGCATTTGAGGTAGAAATATAAATTAATGCCATCAATGTATAAATAAATTACAACGAATAGCAAACTCATCATTCATCGGAATTCAGAAATATTAAACATGAGGAGAAATATTAAAGTCGCACCAATTAGAGATTATTCTAAGACATTTTAGATGAGGCTTTAGAAGAAGTTATCTCTAGCTTTCTCCGGAAAATAAACAATTATTCGTATCCAAACATATTGTAAAATACTCGAGAAAATATAATCTTGTTTTCTATTAGAGAAAATAAACAAATCGTTGTTATGGTTCAAACTATACAATCAATAAACAGAATTATCAAAGGAAATAGTTCAGCAATGCGTTGCAATTATAACTTGTTATTGTTACAATAATGATACCATTCTTAATGAGTGAAAATGTATACCAGAAACACAAACAATCGAAGAGGATAATGTTGAAGTGTTATTTGATACAATACTAAATATTATTTTATAAGTATAAATAAAATTGCTGCTATGCTAAACAACTTAAAAATTAATACACCGATATTTCCAAAGTGTGAAGTGAATCCCTAAGTATTGTCATGTTTATTTATCATTTCATTCTTTAGTCAGAACTTATACGTTTGATATAATAAAGCAGAAATAGCAATTACACATAATGTTATGCAAGATTTCAGTTAATGAACATTTTTAATAATAAACTATTGGTATGTTATGTTAAACTACTTTTTGTTTGAACATCAAGATGAAAGAGAAAAATCGCAAAAACCTTAGAAGCAATGTTTCTTTTCTTATGTCTTTCAGTTTTTCCTTAAGAGAATCATCGAATGTGTGAGTCATAGTAATGACGCGCCGTTAAAAGTTTACGTCATTCTGGTCAGCCAGTTACGTGTTCATGAGAAACGTTCCTGGAATGGATGACGAATCGCAACGGAAATTGTTGCCTTTCTCGCATATTTCGCTGCATCCCGACCGTCGCCGCCGCCGGAGGCACAAACTGCACAACAACAACGGTGTATACCCATCGCCCCGTCGTCACCGTCACCGTCGACCAGCATCACAAACACCATACGAATTCCGATTGCATTCGCACTCTCGCCTCAGTATTATTCCTAATTTGGTATCGGCCAATACACATTTTATCTTTCCATTAAACCCGTTTAGAAATTGAACGAGGAACAATGTGACGACAATCGCGCAGAATGCGCAACAAATTACTACCACTTTATATTATTCAATTTTCTAATTGAGAAGAAAAAAAATGTGCGAATAAAAAATGTAATGCGAGCAAATTACTTGATTATCTTTACTTTTCTGATGATACCCAATTAATTTACCGTATTTTTCGAACACATATCCCAAAAGTATGAGATATTTTTTTAGAAGAAACAGTAACAGTGATTACATAAAAGACAATAAGACGATTTCTCTGGTTTAAACAGATTACATGACTATTTGCAACCCTCTGGTTGAATCAAATACGTGAACGAATCATTACTATTGTAAATTTGACGTTTTTTTGTGTTAGTCTCTTTTTCTAAAACTCGTTTTAAGAAAAAAAAAAAATAACATTACGGTCTATCGGAAACAAAAATTGAAATATGTAGTCCATTTGAAAGCTGAGTATGGGAATTCCCAGCATATTATGCTGCGGTCCGACAGCGTTAGCGAGAACGAGAAGACACGTGTATACCAAAAAAAAAACCTATATGCATGCATTTATATAGAATTTCATCTCCGATTAAAGTACATTCGCTTAGCGTACGTCAAATTGCATCCGTATTATGTACGTAACTGAGCGCTGCATGTATTTTAATTTATGAGCAACATAGTAGTACTGAGTAATTTCCATTTGTTGACGAGTTGCTGTTTTCGAGTGAAATTTATAAGCGAAAGACAGATGCTAAATCATCCAAAGACTGACCGTCTTAAAAGTAGGATTCTTGCGATGAGAAGAAAAGAAGCAATTTATTTTAGAAATCGATCACCAAGCACACTGCGGATAAATAATTTTTGGAATATATTATAAATAAAAGAAAAAATGTTATTAATTAGATGGAAATATAGGAATCGGAGGAAACGATTGCTGTGTTCATTTTTTTCTTCTCTGCTTTCATTCTAGAAGTCGATCAGCACCGGGGGCGCCTCTAGCCCATTAATAAAGTCCATTTTATAAATGTGTGTATGTATAGAATTCTATTTATAAGTGTATGTAATGTCGATCCCGTGACCAGCACGCGGTGGCCGCTATACAGCAGCAGGCTTTCCTCTGGTTGCCTTTCTCTGCGTGTCTCTCTCGCTCTCTTGCACTCGCATTTCGTGTGGCCATTCCGCATCTCCCCCGCTTACACTCGCGTTCATTATGAATGGAATGCATTCCTCGAATACCGCACAATGCTATTACTTCACACACTCATGCAATGATCTCTCTCTCTCTCTGATTGTGTGCGTGTACCAACGATTAGAATTGGTACAAAATGGGATCGGATGATGAGGGACCATCGTATGATTATTATTAGATAATTTCAGAAATGTGAAATTAAACATGATAACGGCGTTTAGTTCTTTTTCTTATTCTGCAGATGGTGGGTCCTGGGGAGGGGTCTGATGGGACCCAGAAAAGAAAAAGGGGAGCTCATCCTGCGGGCGTCGCGATGCTTCGCGCCGTTTCGCCCCGGTCAGTCACTTTGGGATGGGACGTCTGCAGCGTCGCGACGCCTGGGTCGACGACCCCAGCGTCTGGCCGGGCAGGTCTACGCGATTCCCCCCATCAACAGCATTCACTAACGCAGACGACGCCCCAATCCATACACACTCTCGCACACAGATCCGCCGCCCCCCCAATACATCAATTCACATACAGACACACACACATATCCATAAGAGCCAATCTTTTGTTAACTTATTCCGCAGCCTTTTTATATCTCTTTTTATCGCAGATAAGTGCTGCTGCGCGAGGCAAGGCAACTAAGATGAAGATGAATGGCGACCGCAAATAGACTGACAAAGAGAACATACATTTTATTTGGTATCCGTTCCTCTCCGCGAATTATTCGACGGGATGTCGACCCCCTGACAATCGTCTAGACGTAAGATAAATACGATCCGGAGAAGATTAGTATCAAACCCTCACTTTCACCCTCCTCAAGGAGGAATTTATATTCTCTCATTCTCACTCGCACATGCACACACATTAGGTGGCCACCACCGATTTCCGGTCTGATAACCTTAGAGAAATTCTTTCTGGTTGGGTCAGGCCAGGTCAGTTACTCAACCCCTTGCAAACTTTTTTTATTATATTACGTTCGTACCTAGATATATACCGCACAGAGAGCAGAAGACATCTGCTATATACTCATGTTAAGAGGAATTATCTACATAAAAAAACGTAATTAGCATTCTGAGTTGTACAGTTATGGAACGTTTATGAACATATAATTCCCGCATTATTATAATATATCGTGCTGCAAAACCAGAATATGGCTTAAAGAATTTTTTTTTGGCTTAAGGAACAGGATACCCTACTTATCTTAAACCTATTGTATTACGCAAAGTGCCTCATATTCATTTGCTATATCTAGTGAGCTAAATTTCAGCCCGTTTAGTTTTTGTTACCTTACTGAAGTATCCTACTGTGTGACAACCCTCGTTATCTAGCATGGTCATAACGTAGAAAAGGAATGGCTCGACGTCGTAGTACAGCGTTTTGTGGTCGAGGAAAAATTTGGCGAGTAAGCAAAGATTCTGGCAGTACTGTTTGTACCGTTTGCCGTCCACCTCCCAGACGCTGATCTTATCCTTCCGGTAGACTTCTTCACCGGGCGGATGCCTCCAGACGCACTTGGCAGCGTGCCTCTGCAGCACCGTCCGGCCGCGCATGTATCGCAAACAGTATTCGCAAATGTACAGCTTCGGAAGCCTGGCGTACTCCTCTGGATATGGACTCTGATACCAAACCTCCATTTCGAATTTACCCATTTCTATATACTTTGTACCTACGGTTGACGAATGTTTATCACTATCACGTTATCATATGTAATAATATTACCTTTCGTATTAGGTTGCGTCTTCAAGTCGTCTTCTATCTTCTCGCTGGCGAGTGCTTGCGCGTCCCTGAACAATTTCAGATCGTATTCGGGCACGAAATTCTCTAGATTTGGCTCGCGGTTTTTATTGATCGCCATCTTCGTGTTGCAGCTGCTCTCTTGGTCGTTGCCCATCAGCAAATCGTTTTTATATTTCAGTCTATTATCCTTGATCTTCTGCAGGTATGCTTTTTGCTCCATGGATCCACTTGTCTTTTTGGCCTTCCTGATCTCCTCTCGCTTCTTCCTATCCAGCAAACTCTCCCGACACGCGTTGGCATCGCTGTTGTGGAATACAGGACATGCATCTATGGTAAAATGCTTATCCTGTCTTCCAGCCAAATGGCCATTACTGTGGCATCCCTCAATCGGGCATTTGCGCTCCTCGGAGATGGGCACAATCTCATTGGGTCGCGACTTTGAATCGTTTTTCTTCTTCGCTTTACCTTTGCTCGAGGATGTAACCGGAGCCCTTTTCACAGGTGATCTACTAAGAGATCTCTTTGTACTCTCCGTGTCTGAATCCGTGTCTGTGTACACACTCTTCCCCAAAACGTGCTTAGATTTCCGGGTGTTTGCTGTGCGCGTCGACTTTCGTGTAATCTGTTTGCTGGAATCGGATTCAGGTTTTTTGGTTGCTTTCTTGGTCGCCGTTGATGATTCCGTGCTGCTCTCGCTGTCTGAACTGCTGGACGAATCTGAGGTGCAAGAGCCAGAGCTGGTGCTAATTATTTCCTTGGACTGTGGCTTTGATTCCACTTTTTGCTTAGGTTTCAACTTCTCCAACGTTTTAGGAATAGCCTTTGCACGCGGCTTTGGCGCAACGTTCTTGATAGCTTTATTCTTTTCATTGTTATCAGAATCTGATGAATTCTCAGGTGAAAATATACTCTTTTTTTTATTAGGGTCCACTTTGGAGCTGGGCTTTGATTGTACTTTAGGCTTATTTGCTTTGTTATGTTGACTTTTTGCTGCTGGATTTGATTTTGGAGGCACTTTACCTCCACCAGGGTTAATTGGAATTTGTTTATTTGTGACAGATCCTTTAGCCAATACTGTTTTTGGTGTAACAGTTGCAACACTCTTCGGTTTTATGGGCAGCTTCTTCTTGATATTAGCTTTTGCTTTAGCATCCTCATCCTCTGTTGAACTTTTGCTGATCTGCTTAAGCACCTTAGGTGGAGGTTTTTGGTTACTCACTTTACCCTGAACTTGTTTTTCTTTAATATCAATACTTTTACGTTGAATTGCCTTCTGTATAGATACTGTTTTCTTGTTAGCCTCATTCCCAGACTGCTTGCCACTAGACTCTTGAGATGAGGAGCTCTCACTATCACTGGAGGACGAAGAGTCAGAGCCACTTGATGAAGAGCTGGAACTGGAGCTATCCGAAGAAGAGCCTGAACTGGAATCACTTGAACTTCTGCTCACAGTCTAATTGATGCAAGGTACATTATAAAACTTGATTAATCTGAGCTTATTATTTACATTACCTTCTTTTTAGTGGGCAAAGCTTTTGACATCTTGATCTTAATTAGAACACTATATATAAAATACTTATGTTTGCAACAATATAACTTTCAAAAGGTTGAAAACAAGCATTTATTTATTTACTTTTGCATTTTGACAGTTCTCAGTTCTATACATTTGCTAAGCAACACTAGCTCCATCTACCAAAGAAGTTCTACAGTTGAGAGTAATCATTAGTACCAACTGGTACCAACCACCAACTGCTACCAACTTCATACCTTCGTCTTTTAACACTTCATTTTAAAAGTATTCAAACAAAGTGTGGCACGTGGATTTTATTTAATATTTATAGTGTATCTCGTAACGTTGAAATACAAGGGTGTAAAATGACTGCTGAAACGGACTTCGCTATGGAATCTAGTGACTCAGAATACGGTGATAACGAGGTATGTATAAAATAAAATATATTGAAGGTTATGTTATGATTTCATGTGTTTTGTTTCAGCTGCAACAAGCATTTGCAGAGGGAAAACTAAAACCAGGTTTAAATATCCCAGAAGAACTAAAGAAACCAATTGTTAATAATGTGGTATGTTTTCTTTAAGTATTCCTAGAAAACTTTTTTAATTATTTTGTTATTACTACTTAGGTTGGGTTGGTAAATGCATTGAAAACATTCAAAAAGAAATTGCCATGGATAGAGATTCTAGACTCTGTAAATGGATTAGCCCCAATTGCTCCAGAGATGGCTGCAAAACTACTTACAAATGAACAAAAACGCGCCAATGAGTTGCAGAATAATAAGAAATTACCACAGTTCAAGCCAGAAGAAGATCCTGTTCTAAATGATTTTAAAAGAGAAACTATGTTCCACAGACAAGCTCAAGCTTGTGTATTAGATTGCTTCCCAAAATTGAAGGCTATGGGCATGCCTTGTTTAAGACCAGATGATTACTTTGCACAGATGGCAAAGACTGATGATCATATGCAAAAAATTAGGACAAAATTAATGGAGCAGGAAGAGCAGCAAAAACGGAGTGAAAAGGTGAAACAAATAAGGTTACACAAGCAACAAGGCAAGGCAATTGCTAATGAAACTAGAGTTAAGAGAATTGCTGAAAAACGTGAACTTATGAACAACTTGAAGAAAGCCAAGAAGGGCAAGGGAGCTGATCTCAGCTTTTTGGAGAATGGAAAGAAACCTATGAAAACTCTTTCAAATAGTAGGGTGAAGAGGAACGAGAAGTATGGAATGGGTGGCAAGAAGAAGGGATCTAAGCGTAACACCAAGGAGAGTTCTGGTGAATATGGATCAAAGAAGGGTGCACATAATAAAGGCAGTAATAACAAGAGGCCAGGAAAGGGCAGAAGGATGACGCAGAAAAGGAAAGGAAAAAATTAAAATGTTGATTATTATTATTATTTTTTTTAATAAATGTATATTTTCTTTCAATTCTAATAAATGATTAAGCCTTTACGACCTTTAAAACTATGTTTTATTTCTATTTCATTGGTACTTTAAATCATTTTCATATTTACATTGTTAATTATACACTATTTCCAATGTTCTTGCATCAATTAGCGACAAATAATATGAATTTGAAAATTGATAAGAAATGTTTTATAAATTATGCACTTATGTGAAAAAACGTGAGAGAAACGTCAATACTTCCTTAGTTATTACTAAATCGAAAGATTCACAAACGCTACTAGTATATTAATTATTAACAATTATATTTGTATGAAGATGTGAAAAATGTAATATCTTAGTTAATACTTAAAATTAAATAAAAATTCTTAAACAAATATTTAGAGTTAAAATGTAAATGTAAACGTGTTTTAATTAGCGTTTTCGGGAAGTCTATTACTAACAACTCAAAAATAAATAAAACAAGATTGGTTGATTGAAAAGGATTTAAAATTTATTTTTCAGTTTTGTATATTAAAGTTAAATTGATTCTGTAATTATGGATATATTTATATAACATTATATTAAGTAAACATAATCAAATAGTAAAATTAATTAGTGTTTAGTGCATAACCTCGTCAACAATTTTGTATAACTTAGATTAGATTTTGGGCTCTATAAATTTGTCTATTTTAAATCAATAAATTGAATCATTGTCTAAGGCGGCCGTAGCCGTGTGGCTATGGACGCCTGTATCACGAATATCTGACAATATCTGATACGAAAGGGTTTCGATTCTCAAAATCCAACAAAATTTGTGGGTATGCACCAGCATACACAATAAATCCAAGTGGTAGAAAAAAAAATATTGTCTTGAAATTATCCTTAAAATCTAAATAAATTTAAATAACACACTGATCGATACATTTGTTAATAATAATTAAATAAGTATGCATATTTATTAGAAAATTCAAAAAATTAAATAATTTCACTCTGCTCCTCAGTGGCGCCACACTTAATGCTTTCGTAGAACTAAGAATCTGTGACTGCTGCAGATAAGTTTGGAAAAGTTAATTTTAGTTTAAAATGCACGGAGAGCATGCAATTTAAGTTATTTTGAATTCTTCAGTCAGTTCTCGTGTCATTTGTAGTATTTTAAAGCTGCTATAAGCACCTTAGTTTTGTTTTGTTATAGTTGAAGCAGAGACACAATGAAAATCCAAAGTAAGTACACATTTTACAATTCTAACCTATAAATTTAAGCACATTGTTTTGATACATTTAACCTTAAAAATATTTTTTCTAAATAATTTATAATGATTTAAGATGATTATAATGTAATGTTCAATGTTTTTTTTAGAGAGAGAGTCGAACCGTATGCCAGCCAGAAGGCGGTATAAAATTGAGAAGAAAGTCAGACAACATAACAAAAAGATGCGCAGGGCTGACAAAAAGAATCCTGCTAAGAAGAAGCAGCCAATAATTAATGTCCCTAATCATTGTCCTTTCAAAGAAGATATCTTGAAAGAGGTTGAAGCATTAAAGAAACAAAAGGAGGAGGAGAAACAGAAACAAAGGGATCTGGCAAAACTAGAGAGACAGAAGAAGAAGGAAGAGTCAAAAGCAGGCCAAAGCCTTGAAGGATTGGTGGTAAATGCTGAGGCTCGTGGTAAGGTTCATGACACACTAATGCCAGATTCTGAACAGCTTTCTGAACTTAATAAAAATCAAGAGAATTCTCTGAAAGCCTACTACAAGGAATTCAAAAAAGTTATTGATGCTGCTGATGTTATATTGGAAGTGGTCGATTGTCGTGATCCCATGGGTACCAGGTGTATGCAAGTGGAGAAGGCAGTGCAGGAAGCTACTGGAAATAAGAGGCTGGTTATTGTTTTAAATAAGGCCGATTTAGTGCCAAGAGAGAATTTAGATAAGTGGTTGAAGTATATTAGGAAAACGACACCAGCTGTGCCTTTCAAGGCATCGACTCAAAATCAATCTAAGAAATTAGGCCACAAGAAGATGGGCAAATCGACGAGCGCAAATGCCATCCAAGGATCTGCTTGTATCGGAGCTGAGCTACTGATGTCAGTCCTGGCAAATTATTGTAGAAACAAAGGAATTAAAACTTCAATTCGAGTAGGCGTAGTTGGTTTACCAAATGTTGGTAAGAGTTCTTTGATTAACAGTTTGAAGAGGTCGAGGGCTTGCAATGTTGGCGCGACGCCAGGCGTCACAAGGTAATATTATGAAAATTTCGCTTTCATTCAACAATAATGTAATTATTTTTATTTTTAGAGCTATGCAAGAGGTGCAATTGGACTCGAAAATTAAACTGTTGGATTCCCCTGGTATCGTGTTCGCAACTGGAAATGATAGCAGTGCTTCCTTGAGGAACGCTGTTAAGGTTTCGGCGATCGCGGATCCCATCACTCCAGCGAATGCCATACTCCAGAGAGTCAACAAAAAGCAAATGATGGAGATGTATGACATCGTTGACTATACATCGCCTGATGAGTTTTATAACTTAAAAGCCCGAAGCATGGGTAGGTTTAAAAGGGGCGGAATTCCTGATATGGTTGCGGCCGCTAGAGGACTTTTGGAAGACTGGAATAACGGAAAAATCAAATACTACACGATTCCACCTGAGGAGGAACCGAACGTCCACATCAGCGCCGCGATTGTGAAACAGGTAGCGAAAGAATTCAACGTTGACGAGTTTGAGGTGATGGAAACGGAAATGCTGGGAAAATTCGAAGACAAAAAGTACGACGGTCATTTGGTAAAATCTTTGGGCATGTTGGATGATGTCGTAGAAGAAAAGATGGAAGATGATAATAAGGAAGAGGATGAATTGTTGAAGAGCAAAGTCGTAGCCGCTAAGAAAGTGAATAAGAAGAAAGGTGAGGCTCGCATGAAAAAGCAAGATCCCGAAATGGAACTGGAGGGAAACCTGAAATTGAACAAAATCAAGAAGATGGAATTCAAGAAAGCCAAGAAGCAGAAGAATCGCAAGGAGAAGGTTGAGCATCAATTGTCCACTGGATTGGAGAGTTTTTCTATTAAAGGTAACGATGATTATGATTTTGAGGTCGATCATAGTATGGAATAAATATTAATTTGACAATATATTTAAAAGTCGTTTATTTGTGGCCTGTAATCGGGCAAAATTTCCAGCACCTTTTGTCGCCACTTTTTCTTTTTCTCCTCTTTGGCTCTTTCCAGCTGCAAAACCGCTTTCAAAGTTTTCCATTGATAGAAATATTGAACCAATATTCGACTAAGAAAATAGATGAAATTAATTAATGTATATCGCTTATTTACATTTACGCTCACTTTTCGTAATGGTTCATTGCTCTCAGCGATTGACGATACTGATAATAGCTCTCGTTCATCGTCGCTATTTTTAATAATTTAAAGACCCGCAACATTAGATTGTAGCTGTAATAATCTTCTGCAACTTGTAAATTTAACTTAGATAGATGACAATTCTAGAACATAAATTAATTATTTTTCTTATAAAATATATAAATTATAATACTTACTGCAGACAGCATTGAAAACCCTTTTTTAAGTAATAGTGTTTTATAAAAGTTATCGGCTTTACAGATCTTCTCGTTTTTTTCAATTTCAACATTTCTATGCCAACATATTAAAGCGTTTTTCGTTAATTTGTTGGAATAATATTCCTCTGCCATGGACTCGGCCGTATCTCTTAAAATAATAATGATTTTAAAAGCTTTCAATCCACGTTTTAATAATTTCTTCCTGTAATATTTGTTTGCTTTACTGCATCCTTCCAAATATCTCTGCTTATTTAAAGCTCTCAATTTATTTGCCTCTATCTCTTTAAGTCTCTTCAATTTTATAGCTTCCAGTGCGGCCTTCTTCTCTTCCTCATCTTGCACCCTTTTCCTTTCTACAGCCTCCTGTGCAATACGTTTCTTTTCCTCGTCCATAATTCGTTTCTTCTCCAAAATCAATTTTCGCTTAAGTGCCCTCTCTTGCGCTCTCCTTTCCATCTCCCTGACCAACTTCGGCGCTAAATCGGCTTGTATTTCTATTACCTCTTCCACAGTTTTACAAATTGTGCCTAATTTAGTTTTCGTTGTTTTCTTCATATTAGTGTAGAACTCCTGCAACTCATCTTTGGACTCTTTGATTGATTTCTGAAGAGACTCGCACATTTTTCCGTATTTTAGTTCCTCGATCACTTTCTCTTGCTCTAGCAGTTTAGCTTTCTGTTCCATAATCATGTATTTCTGTGCGACGTAGCGATTTTTCAATATCTGGGGAGCTTTTACGTTTTCAACGTTAACTTTTTTAACTTTTTCCTCCTTACATTTGAGATTCTCGATAAACTTATCCAACTTCTCGTCAAAGTTTTCAATCGGTTTTTTCTTTTCTCGTGTCTTGCCTCTCCACTTTTGGAAGCACTTGCGAAGAATTTCATCTCGCTTGATGTGTTTTACAGTCATCTCAACATTGATCTCATTCATTTCAATCAACAACTGTTTTCTATTCATTAATTGGATACCGTACATAGCCAGATCTTCACTTTGAGTCGGAATGAATTCTGAAACGGTATGCTCTTCGATATTTGGCGGTGCCAAGTGTTTAACATCTTCGTATAAATCGCGTAAAGTAGAATTTACTATTTTCTCGAACGGTTCTTCAAGCGTCAATCTGTAAAGCAATTAATTAAATGAGAAAGACAATAGAAAATACTACCTTTTAGTCTCAGCCATTTTTGTACCGTATCGATTTTTCTTCATGCATATGTTGTTTGTCAAGTTGTTTGCTTTTGTTACCATAGCAAAGTTGCAGACATATCGCGCTATCTTATCTTTCTAGGCAATTAAAAATAAATCTTCAGATATGGTTGCCCACTTAAACAGTTTGCGTAAACAGGAAAGTTTCAAGAAGATTATGAGTATCTTGGAGCGACCGACGCTAACAGCACGTTCATTAGTGCTATTAAGAAAATTAATCCCAGAAACGATTGAGTTCAATTAATTCGTCTTTGCAAAGTGGAATTAATTCAGTGAGTGTATATAAAGACGCTATTCAATTTACGTGCGGATTGAAGTCGTTGATCATGACAGGATTAGTGCGGTTGTTATTGTTTCTTTGCTTTGCATCCATCTGCAAGAATGCATGGTGCGATTATGGTCATCGCCGTGATGAGATTATCGCCAATGAGAAGCATATGGCTGTTGGGGGAAAAGTGAAACTGACCAAAGAAGAGAGTATCGTTAATGACCAGTTGCTAAATATGAAGCAATCAGAGTTTCAACACTTTGAGGTGCCCGTGACATTTCCGCAACTAAAATGGAAATTGGAGGACTCCAAGGTATTGCATTTCATCAAGGATTTACCTAAAGGAGCATCTTTGCATAATCATATGCTGGCAGCCACCAGCTTGGATTATCTGATACAAAACATAACATATAGAGATAATTTGTATGCGTGTGAGAACTTCAATGAGAATAAATTCAAATTGAAATTTTTCCAAGTCCCTAACAGCGATTGCAACTGGAAATCCGTCGCCGAATTGCGAAGAACCAATAAAAACTACGATGCCTATCTAGTGGAGAAATTGAGTATTGATAGTCCTAAGAGCAGCAGAGAAGCAGCTCAAAAGTTGAGCACTTATTTTACTGCCGTCTTCGACATGTTGACCTATCGCCAAGTTTTTGAAGAATACTTTTACCAAGCAATGATGGAATTGTACGAAGATAAAGTTATCTATGCAGAATTCCGTGGTGTCTTTATGGAGCTATACGAATTGAACGGAACAGTTTGGGATCCGATGACTTCATTGAGAATCATGCAGAACACCGTGCAAAAATTTGTAACGGACAGCAATGGCAAGTTCTTAGGTGCCAAGTATATATTTGCTGTATACAGGAAAATCTCAAGAGATAAACTGCTCGAGTATAAGATGCAGCTGAACGAAGCCGTCATGAGATATCCAAACTTCATAGCAGGCTTTGATCTGATAGGTTACGAAGACGCGGGTTGGCCTCTGAAGAATTTCACAAGAGAATTGAAGAATCCCAGTGTGCCTTACTACTTCCATGCAGGAGAGACTAACTGGTATGGTAACGAGGCTGATAACAATATACTGGATGCAATTTTGTTAGGTGCGAAGAGATTGGGACATGCTTTCTCCCTCGCCAAACATCCGAGACTCATGCAGATGGTCAAGCAGGAACACATTGGCTTGGAAATATCGCCGATATCAAATCAAATGTTGGGTTTCATATCGGATTTCCGTAATCATCCTGGAGCTGTCTATATTGCGAATGGTTTGCCTGTTATCATATGCAACGACGATCCAACCCTTTGGAAAACGAAATCTTTGCTATACGACTGGTACATAGTTTTCATGGCTATGACGAACAAGGATGCTGGCATGGAAACTCTGAAGGAATTTGCTTTGAACTCTCTGTACCATAGCTCATTGAAGGGATCTGAGAAAACTAGAGCGCTGAAGATATTCGACGATCAATGGCAGCAGTTTGTACAGCAATGGTTGCGCATGTTTTCAGCAATCCTATGGATGTTTAAAATGTAAAATAATGTGATTTTAATTTCCTATATTAATGCTAGCAATAAAAGATCTTTTTGAGAGAATAGTATTTGTTATTTTGGTGGCCTATATTACCATTTATTTACAGAGGGCGCTGATGATTTGGTATACTGTAGCCATCTGATTTTAAGAATACGTTCCAGTCTTATTTTTCATAACCTCGAAATAATTAACAACTACATATTAAAGCCTGGTTTTGAAATATCTAAGAGATGGATGAGGTAGAGAAGTTAGAGCACCTGTCGCTGGTGTCCAAAGTTTGCACAGAATTGGAAAATCATTTAGGAATTAATGATAAAGATTTAGGTAAGTCTAGTTACTTATTTCTAGCTTCATGCTTGACTAATAGAACTTTGTTGTTGTTTATCTAGCTGAATTTATTATACACCTTGCAAACAAGAATACAACCCAAGATGCTTTTAAAAAAGTCTTATTGGAAAATGGGGCTGAATTCTCAGATTCCTTCATTGCAAATTTGCTGAGAATTATTCAGCATATGAAACCATCCAGAAGCAGCAGTAGCTATGACACAGGCAAAGAAAAGCCAAATGATGAATTATCAGTGAAGTTTCCTGGCCTAGCCTTACCTAATGAAACACAAAAATCTATTTTTGAGAAACATGGTGTACCTTGTACAGAAGATAAAGAAGTGGTTGATGACTTAATGGCTCAATTTGAAGCAAATGCACCAAGTGGTCACACTGCAGAGACACCAAGCAGGGAGAAGAGGAGGAGAAGTAGGTCAAAGTCCAAGGAAAAGAGGAGGAGGAGATCCCCAGATAGATCTAAACATCGATCATCTAGAAGATCCACTTCCAGATCAAGAAGATCTAGATCCAGGTCAAGGAACAGAAGGAGATCAAGGTCTAGATCTAGGTCTAGGAATAGGAGACATGAAAGAAGTGAAAGAAGGAGGTCTCCAGAGAAGAGAAGGAGGTCCCGTTCAAAGGTTAGGCAGCAGAGGCATGAAAGCCCAGAGCTAGAGGATGATCCTGTTGTAGGAAAGGTTTACAATGGAAAGGTTGCAAATACTGTACCATTTGGTTGCTTTGTTCAACTGGAAGGTTTGAGGAAGAGGTGGGAAGGTTTGGTGCATATTTCACAACTTAGAGCCGAAGGCAGAGTGACAAATGTTACTGAAGTAGTTTCAAGAGGAAATCGAGTGAAAGTAAAGGTGCTTTCAATTACCGGTCAAAAGGTGTCTTTATCCATGAAAGACGTTTGTCAAACAACCGGAATTGACCTAAATCCTACTATTACCTCTATCCGCGATCAGGAGTTTAAAGACAGAAATCCCGACAGGCCCATGAATAATAGCACATCAGTTCTTCGGCTACCAATGAATACCGAAGAAAATGAGGAGGATTCCAGGAAACGGGTGACACGTATCTCTAGTCCAGAGAGATGGGAAATTAAGCAGGTATGTATCTTATTAATTTGATTGTTGAATTTATAATAATTAATTTTCATTTAGATGATATCGTCAGGCTGTATAGATAAAAGCGAGTTACCAGATTTCGACGAAGACACTGGGTTACTGCCCAAAGAAGAGGATGGCGGCGAGGCCGATATAGAAATTGAGCTTGTGGAGGATGAACCTCCATTCTTAAACGGCCATGGTCGAGCTATGCATGATTTGAGCCCGGTGAGAATCGTGAAAAATCCAGATGGAAGTTTAGCTCAAGCTGCTATGATGCAATCCGCCTTGGCGAAGGAGAGGAGAGAGCAGAAAATGATACAAAGAGAGCAAGAAGTGGATTCTCAGCCCAGTGGAAAGGGAAAAAACTGGATTGATCCATTACCGGAAGGTATATTATCACATCGTAATTATTTAATAATATTATTATAACGTTAATACTTTCAGATGATAATAAAGCGTCAATTTCTAACATCAGAGGGATTGGGTTGCAATCGCAAGATTTACCGGAGTGGAAAAAACACGTTATTGGTGGCAAGAAGACTTCGTTTGGAAAGAAGACAAATTTGACTATATTGGAGCAGAGACAATCTCTTCCGATTTATAAATTACGAGAGGAATTGATTAAGGTACGTTCTCATTTTTATTTTATTCAAAATATTGTTTTGATTTTATTGTTTTTTTTTTGTAGGCGGTAACTGATAATCAAATTTTAATTGTAATTGGAGAAACTGGTTCCGGGAAGACTACACAGATCACGCAGTATTTGGCTGAAGCCGGGTTAACGACGAGGGGAAAGATTGGGTGCACGCAACCTAGGCGTGTAGCTGCAATGTCCGTGGCTAAGCGTGTTGCTGAAGAATTTGGTTGTCGTCTTGGACAGGAGGTCGGATATACGATTCGTTTCGAGGACTGCACGAGTCCTGAAACTATCATCAAATACATGACGGACGGTATGTTACTGCGAGAATGTCTCATGGACTTAGATTTGAAGAATTACTCGTTGATCATGTTGGATGAGGCTCACGAACGTACCATCCACACGGACGTATTGTTCGGACTTCTCAAGCAAGCCGTCACCAAACGTCCCGAATTAAAGTTGATAGTAACATCTGCAACACTGGATGCTGTCAAGTTTTCGCAATACTTCTTCGAAGCTCCAATTTTCACCATCCCCGGTCGTACTTTCCCTGTGGAAGTTCTGTACACCAAAGAACCGGAAACTGACTATTTGGATGCCAGTTTAATAACAGTAATGCAAATACATTTGCGTGAACCTCCTGGGGATGTCTTGCTCTTCTTGACAGGTCAGGAGGAGATTGACACGGCCTGTGAAATATTATACGAGAGGATGAAGTCACTTGGACCCGATGTACCGGAATTGATTATACTGCCGGTGTATTCCGCTTTACCATCTGATATGCAGACAAGAATTTTCGATCCTGCACCTCCGGGAAGTCGTAAAGTTGTAATCGCAACGAATATTGCTGAAACCTCTCTTACTATCGACGGTATTTTCTACGTTGTGGATCCTGGATTTGTCAAACAGAAAGTGTACAACTCAAAAACCGGCATGGATTCTTTGGTGGTAACACCGATTTCTCAGGCTCAAGCTAAACAGAGAGCAGGAAGAGCAGGCAGGACTGGACCAGGAAAATGCTACCGTTTGTATACCGAACGTGCCTACAGAGATGAGATGTTGCCGACCCCTGTACCAGAAATTCAAAGAACTAATTTAGCTACCACCGTTTTACAACTGAAGACGATGGGGATTAACGATTTGCTGCACTTCGATTTCATGGACGCACCTCCGGTTGAGTCGCTAATTATGGCTTTAGAACAACTGCATTCGCTTTCCGCCTTGGACGATGAAGGATTACTGACGCGACTTGGTAGAAGAATGGCCGAATTTCCTCTGGAACCCAACCTCTCGAAGATGTTGATCATGTCGGTGGCACTTCAGTGCTCTGATGAGATTCTGACAATAGTCAGTATGCTTTCTATACAGAACGTGTTTTACAGACCTAAAGATAAGCAGGCCGTAGCGGATCAAAAGAAGGCGAAGTTTAATCAGCCCGAGGGAGACCATCTCACTTTGCTCGCGGTATACAACAGTTGGAAGAACAACAAGTTCTCAAACGCGTGGTGTTACGAGAATTTCGTGCAGATCAGGACACTGAAAAGAGCACAGGATGTTAGGAAACAGCTGCTGGGCATCATGGACAGACACAAATTGGACGTGGTGTCTGCGGACAGAAACACCGTAAGGATACAGAAGGCTGTGTGTTCCGGTTTCTTTAGGAACGCGGCCAAAAAGGATCCTCAGGAAGGTTACAGGACTTTAGTAGACAGCCAAGTAGTTTACATCCATCCTTCCAGCGCATTGTTCAATAGACAACCTGAATGGTAAGTAACCCATATACAAACTTTCTTCAAATATAATAATATCCTTTAAATTTCGTTCAACAGGGTTATTTATCACGAGTTAGTGCAGACCACCAAGGAGTATATGCGCGAAGTAACAGCGATAGATCCCAAGTGGCTGGTAGAGTTCGCACCGGCCTTCTTCAAATTCTCCGATCCCACCAAGCTCAGCAAATTCAAGAAGAACCAAAGGCTTGAACCTCTCTATAACAAATACGAGGAACCGAACGCTTGGAGGATATCGCGCGTTCGCCGTAGGAGAAATTAAAGTAGAAATTAAGTGTCTTGTTGGATTATTGACACAAACAAAAGACATTACAGGTTACAAAAAAGAAATATATCCATATAAAACAAACTTTTCAACTTGAATCTGAACTGTGTTGTAGTTCATTTAAAATTTTGATGAAAAGCATTTCATTAACATTTAACTTTGTATATTCAGTTGCCTAAATGAGAATATATAATTGATCCGGACGATTTACAATTTAAATAGGCTCCAATTAAATGTAATTATTCCGAGACCACTCAAAAATAAAATATGCTTATTATTAGAAGCCATAAATTTAAAATGCTTCTGTATTTCCCAAACATGTTGCTGAATAATGAATATTTAATATCAAACTGATTATAAAGTATTCTAATATTAATAATTTAATGAATATAGAATGATAATTTCAGATAAAACAATAAAATTTATTTGTCATCGGCTTTGCTGAGAAACAAAGCATATCTTTATTAGTTGGTTGTGAATTATATTGAAATAAATTTACAGGAAATATAATGTATGTATATTAAGTGGTTTATAATTCATTTGGAAAAAATATGTTAGGTGTATTTCGTGGAATCACGATGTGGATCGAGTTCGGAACTTAATTATCGCGGCATTTAGGTTTTCGGGTTCGATCGAGACGTGCGTGGCTTTAAATATCTAGAATGGATCAAATTCCGTCTGCATACACAAAGTATGCGTGTGCGTGCGAGAGAGAAAGAGATAGACTTGCACGGAAATGAGCAATTAAAGTTTAATACCGCAGATCATGGTTGTTTTTTTTAGTTATTTTACAGGTGTTGTAAATATTTATGTATATTTATTAATATGTATTTATTTTTGTAGGTGTATTGTTAAAATGATCTAAGGATATTTTTTTAAAAATATTGTTATGAAAATACGCGTTAAGATGCACCTGGCTACAGGTATTAGAATGAGAGTAATAGAACTACAAATTGGAATTGGTTGCGTTCATTTTTTTTGTAGGTGTTTTATTAGGTCTGCGTAATTCAAAAACTGGCGACTGCAATTTGGGGAATGGGTTCATGGTTCAATTCAGTGCGGAGAACGGGGACACCGTTTATGTAATTTAAATAGAGGAGACGAAACTGAAAAAGAAAAGGAGCGATAGAACGAATACTCGGAGAAAACAAGATGATATCCATCATATCATCCGCATGCATTTCGAGCGTGTGTGCGAGTTTATATAAAATAAATTTCAATGCGAAAAGGAGGAAGAAGAGGATGGAAAAAAAGAAGGGAAGAAAAAAAATGTGTTGCAGCAGCATGCCTGAATTAGTGGCTAGTGGCTAGCGAATGATTTCTCTGCGTGGAATGTTTTCTGCCGTCAGCGATGGAATGTAGCCTCTAACTCAGGTACACTCGACTCGGCTGAGGGGAGCGGACGCGTGAGTGCGAAAGAGCGAGAGAGAGATAGCTAGAAGAGTGATGGCTTTTAAGTACAGTCGGTGGTTCTAGGTGAGGTACATACGGAGACCATTGCATTGTCGAGTAGACCAGAAGCGGAGTGGAAGTTATTGGCACCAGTCCGGCGAGAAGTGAGCTTGGTCCGCCGCATTCCGATGATGCTTGCTGCGTGGATTGTACCTGACCGCAGTAAAACTGTTGAGGGATTTCAGTTGAAAAATATCTTGGCCGGTGGAAGGATATCTCATAAACACTCGCACTGATTACCGGACGGACACGTGAATCAATCGTCCCAAATTTTTTTTTACTACCTCCACCAACGTCTTCGCCGCCTCCGTTGACCCTAACGTTGTCACCATCCTCACCACCATCATCATCAAAGTTGTTATTGTTTCTGTTTGTTGTTATTGTTGTTTCGCTATTGCAATTAGACCATTAACTGGATTCCGGAATTCCTCGCTCGGAGTTACAACAGTTGCGCGCATTCGCACATACACACACCCTTGCTCCTCATTCTTGTGTGAGGATATATTTCCCCGAAAAGCTGCGCTCCAGTTCGTATCGCAACCTTTTGCCGAAGACACGGACGGGCTCGTTTAAAAAGCTAGGCGCGGAAAAGTTGGTGGTTTGTTGTTCTCGGCCATAGAAGAGGCATCGTCGTCGGAGGGTATCGGTATCGAGAGCACCGAGATAACTATGGTTCGGTAGCCGCTTGGATTTTTAATTTAAAACACATGGTGAGTGGTTTGTTTGTTCTTGTTTCTTTTTAAAATTCTCTACGAAGCGCACTCGATGTGCATGTATCCCAAATGCGCGTCGCGCGAATCCGAAATGTGGTATTGGTGAATGTGTGCTAATTTGTCTTTATTTATTTACTTCTTTCCACTCTGCATGGACGATGATTGTGATGATGTTGATGAATCGGATGCATGCACAGCCGATGATGCCTTTGCGTTGCGGAATGCAGATGCGTAACGACATCACCTTGGAATCGCATCCCATTATCATCATCATCCATGCATACAATAAACTATTTTTGCGTCGCATTTATAACCATTCCTGGACGAAAACTCTAATTGTTATTCATATTCTTAAATAACTTTCCGGCGACTATAACTTTCCGGCGACCTCTAAAAAATTACAATTTTGTAGTTTGAATTTTAATAAATTAGAAACAATAGCAGGTCCTAACAATATTTTTATTTTCCTATTATTTTTAAAACTTTATTTAATATTATTATGTAACTGCTGCACTAAATGTTATTATATACAACATTACAGCAACATAACATAAATTAATGCATTTTCTTTGAATCAATTATTAATTTTATCATTAAAACATTTAATTATCTTTTATATGCATATTGAAGTTATTTTTATAATTTTTCAGTAAATAGTTGTAACATTTCTTTGAATGTAAATTCGACATTCTGATGATTAAATTTTAGAACATAAGTAACAATCGACATTGAACTTCATATTCAACATTATTATGTCACGCGAATTCAATTATTGATTGGTATAATCTAAAATTCATATATTTTTTTATAGACATTATTTTTATATGTATCAATTTGCAATTTTAACAATTAAAAAAGTTAAGTCAATGAAAAATTAAAAGTAATTACAATTATTTTCAATATTATAATAGCAATTAATCGACTCAAAATTATTATGTTTCAAGAATGTAATTATTGATTGCAAATACTTATTATATTTTTATATTCAATTACATGTGAATGTTTGAAATAGAAAATCAAAATCAGTTAATTTATCTCATATAATCAACTTTAAGTTTAATAAACAATACTAAAAAAAAAGTTTGCAAATGTGACTGTGATAATATTTAAAGAGGAATTAGGAATCAACATAAAGTTTATAATTGGGACAGATGCGAAATAATTGTACTTTGCGAATTAAATCTTGAGGTATATTCCCATGAAAATAACAGTTATTGGAGACAATGGGGAATCCAAGCGGCAGGTAGAAACTGAATAAAGAGAGTAAACATAATAGAAAATTATCCAAAGTGTAATGATAATGAATCTTAGGATGTAGCTTAACATTTGGATGGGAAATTGCATAATTGAGTAGCTGTAAATGAATTAAATTTCGATTAATGAAAAAGTTGCGTTGGTTGTTTGCAATATTTGAGTTGGATATATTTTTTATAAGTTTATAAAGACAATAAGCATAATAGAAAACTACCCATAATGTAATGGTAATGAATCCAAGAACTGTACGTGTGTAGATTGAATAAAATTTAGATTACTATAATATTTGGATGGGAAATTGCATAATCCAGTTCCAGTTCATTGCGATGCATGATTACACAATTTGATGTTCCCAAAGATATTATGTCTTATAATACGCATCATCCAAACTAGTGGCTTATTTACTGATAGACGAAATTTGATTTAAACGTCGAGTGTAGGCGTTAAGGAATGCATTATGATTACAAAAGTTGCGTTGGTAATGGTAATAAAAACGCAAATGCTATTGCTGTTGATGTGGTGTAGTATTCAGCAGTAGTAACTTTTCCTGGGCAACTTTCTATCGTACGTTTATGTAGTGTATCTATTGGTCACGTAGCGCGAATGAAATTTTTGTGAATGAAAGTTGGACTGTACGGCGCCGATTTGGAAGTTACGGCACGTGCATCTTTCCTTCCTCTCTTTTCCTTTTCTTCCCCCCATTCTTTTACCTTTGCCGAAGAGGTCAAAACATTCGCAAAACCGCGAGGATGATATAACACGTTGCAACCCGAAAAAGGTAAATAATGATGATGCGTGTGTTCTGATGTTGTTGCCTCTGCTGAGACGACGGCGACGAGCTTGGCGCGCGCAATCAAATTGTTTACGTTTTTGAGACCCAGAAGGTCGTCTGCATTCCGATCTCTCCGCCAAACTGCGCTGCTGCACTGCACTGCACCAACCGATGCAAGGTAATGCGAGGAACTCTTAAGGTGACCAACCACGCTAAATTTCTGCAAGCTTTTGCTATCGTTTGAAATGCAACACATTTTTTTTAGTAAAGAAGAAAAAAGGGTTATAATCAAACATTAGCGAATGTTCACTGATGTTCTAAGCTTATTCAGTAGACAACTAAAATCGACGAGAAAACTTATGCTTATTCACAATTTATATTTTATTGAAAAACTGGTCAGAAACAGCGACAAATCTTTACAAACTCAATGTTTTCACGTATAAACATTGGTAATCAGTAATAAAACGCCCTTATTCTTTTTAATATTATAGTTCCTTTGACACACGTATCTGTTCAACATAGCACAAGATTTAATATTGTTAAAAAAAAGTATGACAATTTACTCAGTGGTCAAGTTTTGAGTGGATACGACAATAGTTCATCATCAAATGTTAGCAACATTTGTATGTTTTCTTAATATTTGTACAACGAAGCACATATTTATATAATAAATACATTGTAATTAGATACATAAAATCGAACATTTTGAAATATTAAAAGTACTGCATAAACTACGCAAACAACTTTAATATTTTGAAAAACGATAATTGTTCGATAACAAATACAAAATTTGTCAGATTTTACTCTTCACAGTCAACATGGTATCAATATGAAATATGTATTGTATATATAAAATATTTTGTGCAAATTTACACAATTATATACTATATGTATTTATTTAATGTATGAACATTGGATATGAATTTCTCTAAAATTAAGGTTTATAAATTAATAATATTAACGAATAATCTCGAATTACAGTAATTGAGCCCAAAAACAACAATATTTTGTTCAAATTTAGTAAATAAACTGATAAAATTCAATTATTACCATGTCCTCAAATAATCTTAACATTTATTAAAAATTAGTTAGTATTTTAAGAAGAACACAATTTGCAGTATTTGTGTAGGAGATGCAAATGTATCCAAATCATTTTACACTTGAAATATGTTCAATGAAAACGCGCGAAAGTTATAAAAGTAATTTCTTGCATTTTTTGTAGTTATGATACATATCACACATTTAATTATTTATTTAAATTGAACATAATTTATTTATTGTGATAAATGTAACAAATATAGAACAAATTTAAATATTTTTGTAAAAATAAATTTAAAAAAAATTTGTTAATAAGAAACACACATTTGTTTTGTAATCATTGTAGCAATTTCTAGAAAATTAAGTGGAGAAAAGTTCAGACTAAAAATATTAGAAGAAAAAAAAAAGAAGTTGTTTAAAAATTATTTCAAATGTTTCTCTTAAGATAAGTTGATACAAGTATTATTGTATTATATTACAATTCTCCGGAAAAAAAATAACGACTCCACTTATGCAAGTTAATGTTACCAAACTCATTAAAAGTATTTATTTAAAGTTAGTTTAGTGTTAGTGAACATTTGAGTAAAGTTTACTTCGAGTCGAATTTTGATAAAAAAAAAACATTTCTTCCAAGATTGAGAAGGTCTGTTAAGGGAGAAGGGTTGATGATTGATTTTTATTTGATTTTTGTTGTTGTTGTTTCAGGTGAGACGCGGCGAGGAGCCCCGGTTAGAGATGGTGGGGTCATGCGTGCCGGGCTGTGCACGGTGAGCGCCCCTCTGGCCGCGTGCAGCCCAGCCGCCGGCGCGCTCCCACCGGCCGCCCGCTTCCTCGCACTCCACCTCCTCCATCAGCAGACACTCTACTTCATCGTCCAGGCCAAATCCCGGGTTCGGGAACTCTACCACCAGACATGCCTCCACTTCGGCCATCAGGGCATGCTAGACACGGACCTCTTCGGACTTGCCCTCATATGCGGTAAGAAGAAACACGCGCGCGTTCTTCACAAACCCCCAGGACCGGTTCCATCCTCCACCATTCTTGCAACCGGTCCTCCCGACCCAACACAATTTGTTTAAACAAAAATGCAATTTAAATTCTCTACCACTGATTCACTACCTACCTACCTACCCACATATCTACCTACCTACCTACTTACATACCTCCACCTCTCTCTCTCTCTCTGTCATTCACTCACTCTATGCGTCGGTTCCGCTTCGTTTGCCATTAGACAGACGCTTTTCTTTCCTCTACCACTTCTCCGCCACTGCTCTTCTTGACCAGTAACAACCGGCGTTTAATGGTATTTAATGTTGTCGTTTTTGCTATGCGCACTCTTCCTTTTCGGTTTTTCGCTCGGCCGTCTTCTGAATCGGAATTTGGAGCGCTCTTGTTTTGGTCGCTCTCTTCTCAATGGAATTAAAAAACAAACCATTATTATATATTCCACTTTGCTTGGCGGCAAAACCGAGTTTTCCTTCTCCACTTCTGTTTTCATCTTTCTCTTATTTTTATCCTCATCTTCAGCCTCCTTCTTCTCATTCACCTACAATAATAAGGCTATCAAATATTAATTAAATTTTTATGACGACGACGCTAATTAATGTGTATATCCTGTCTGCATATCATTTTTACTGTTTCGGCTTTAATTGGGTTTACAAGACCTAATGCTTTTTTTATCAATCATCAATTATTTTCTTCTTTAAAAGAATACTATTTACAATCTATAATTAATGAACATTCCAGAAAAATAATTTATCTTAGAATTGATCTTAGGTAGATCTAATCTTGAAACATATTACTCTATTTTCCATCTGCTACTGTTTCTTTGCTTCTTCTACAGGTTTCAATCTGTAATACCTCTCATACTCCTGCTTTGATTAGTCTGGATTCACTATAGTCCATTTTGAACATTTCTAAATAAATTTTAATTGAGTTAAATATAAATAAATCCCAAAAAAAATTATTTTTTATCCATAAATTATCGATTTTTTCAATATTTAAGTCAATATTTAAGATTCAGTTAAGTATAATTTAATTGTAACGCAATATTTGTAATAGAATCTAAATAAAAATGAATAAAATGTTCAAAAACTAACCAATAAGATTTAAAAGCAAAATTAATGTAAATAAATCAGTTCAGAAGATAAACTAAAGAGTAAAAAGAAGGAGAAATAAACAAATAAATTGAAAACAAATAAAATCTATTGGTTAATTAGCAATAAGAAACTTCTTAAGTAACTTTAAATTAACACATTTAAACACAAATACAAAATATAGAGATTTTGATATAAAAAATTGTAATAATGTTTGAAATTATTAGATGTTCTTTATTTATTAAAAGAAAGTATCAAGTGTGGATTGCTTTGTGTGTCTGTTTTCTGTGTCGTACGAAAGTCTTGATTCATGTAAATGTAATCTCGAAGTCGACATGCGGGCGCCATTGATTGAGACCCGAGGCCTAAATTAATTCATCGCGATTTAAAATTTATTGTAATTAATTTATATATTTCCTAGTGATTTGCATAAATCCGATCTCAATATCGATCCAATAAATAATCGACGAGAATTTATAAAAAAAAAAGCATGTCTGCATACTAAATTGTCTGCCTTTTTTTCCCCGTTCTCTATCAATTTTTACTATAAAAATAAATAATAATATTTTTCCTTAAAACTGTTACACAATATCACAAATAATTATATTTATAGAAGTGTGAAATAAAAATAAACGTTATTAAATATTTGTTTGATGTATCTATAATTGCAATTTAAATTAATTAAACATTAAGATAAATAATCAGCGTGAATTCATAATTACATACAATAAACTACATTCATATTTATCATCGGATTTTTTTCCGTTCACGAATATTTGGTGTTATTTTTTTTTTGGTTTGACAAGCAATTCATTTTAATTACAAGTTTTTTTTAATTTCTCGCATTTTCAATTAACGGATTTTTTTTCGATGTTTATTGTTTGTTAAAAATATAATCGTGTAATTTATTAAAGTATTTGTTTAATGTTTCTGTAATTGCAATTAATTTTTAATTTGATATTAATGTATTATTTTGTAATGTGTAGTTCGGGTCATAACTGTATCGTAAAGCTGCCAGCGAGTAGTAAATTCTATTCATTGTTAATCGTGCACTGATCGTGTAAAATTATCATGTGAAATTACTTGGATATTGAAATATGAGTTGATAGATTTTGCAGTAGATTTATGAATTGAACTGGTACAGTTTCTAAAGTGAAAATATATAATTATATTAATTGTAGTAAGTAAAAATTTCAAATTATTTTGGTTTAAATTATTTTTATCCTAAATTTTTGGATATTATTTATACACATTTTAAAAATTATCAACGGTTTTGATTTTATATTTGTTATATTTCTGTTTATTATAAATAGATATTTAATGATTCATATTTCTATTGTATTAAAAAAAAACTATTTGATCCTTGGCGGTTTTTCGCTACTCGAGTTCTTGTGGATATAGTGAATTTCTTAATATGTGTGTGCTGTACATGTTTCATTTGGTATACTTTTCGCTTGGATTGTACCCACCGGGCTGGGCGCATTCCCCAACTATACAAATGACTCCGGGTATGCGAGTGTGTGAGTGCGCGCGCACTCCTCGCGCTCGCTTACCTTTCCTTCTTTCCACACAGCCCATGCATAGTCAGCCAACAGCTACCTGTCTTGACCACTGCTCTGCATTGTACTAATTTTTTTCTTTTTTCTTCTCCTTCATCTTCTTCTTCACCATCACCATCTTCCTCTTTCAATTCCGATGCATCTGTTTGTAAGTTTACACTCTCCATCTCCGTTGCTCCATTCCGATCTCTCTGCATATTTAAACCGTCCATCCGGAGCAGAACACGCTTCATTTCGTCCCAAAGATAAATGTCTATATGCACAAGAGAGAGAGAGAGAGAAGTCCTCTTAATTACAAGGACCGGACGAAGAAGAATCAAAATTCTGTCCTCCCATCCCCATTCCGGCAAGACGAGGGATGAGCGCTCTTCAAACGTGCATCTCAAAAATATTAAAGAAAAAATCCTAAAAGGAGTCGCCATCCGTCGCATCGTTTTGGAGGGAAATCTCTCCAGATCTCTGAGAATGTAAAGTGCGAGAGGCTCTCGTCGCGATGAGCCTATATGGTAGATGATGGTAGAGTCCTGAAGAGGGAGAGAAGAGGACGTGAAGCAGAAGAGGAGATGGTACAGTTGGTCGAGTGAGTGTACAAGTCGTGGCGTGGAATGCCGACCGGCGCTGCAACATTCCATCGGTCCAAACCCCTCGCAGCCAGCAGCAGCAGCCGTCGCCGTCGCCCTTTCATTTCCCCTCGCCTCACATTCCAACCACCGGTCTCCTCCTTCTCCTTTCTTTCACTAATCATGTCTTCTCATTTCCATCATTTCTCATTTCCCTCGCTTCTTCCATCTCTCCTCTACATCAGCCCCATTCTCTAATCATACCGCCGCCACTATTACTACTACTACCATCGCTACTATATTACTATGCTAATCCATGTGCTAAGAATTCTTTCACAGTTTTGCAAAATACAAATAGAACTTAACGTTACTTCAGAATCAAACATGTAGTTAAGTAGTACGGATAGAGAGCTTAGAAGTTTCACGACAAAATATTTATATGCAGTTATTACTTAAAATAAAATATTTTTTACTTCATAAATAATATCCTTACGAACTATAACTATATCGATGGTTTTCTAAAAACTTTCTCAGTTAATTAATTTTGTAATTAATATTTACCCATTGGTGATTTTACTTTTAGTGACAATATAATATATCTCGAAAATCTTTCATAACTTTGTACAAGAAATATAACATTAAGATTCAGTTTGAATTTACATATTATGTGGATCTAATTCTTTAATTAAATATTAAAGTAGCACGATACTGAAAAATTTATTCCTGCTCTTAAAAATAAAGGAAGTATGCTACTCATTGTAAATCTTCTTGTAATTTGTTGTTTTTGAGGAAAGATGTTCAATGAGCTAATATCTAAATGTCAGTATGTAGTGATTGTATTTTTCACAAAATTACTTTATTTCTATTGATTATATGCTTACATGGTTCTTATATGCTAATTTTGTGTGTAACTTTCTTGCGAACTAATGCGTAGCCAGTGTTCAATTAAATGTGCTTATGTATATATAATAACGTATTTGTTTGGATTTTATTACAGATGGAGAGTACCTGTTTGCAGAGCCAGATAGCAAATTATCGAAGTATGCACCTAAGAGTTGGAGGTCCTCGCACAGCCATGGGCTGGACGCGAACGGACGTCCGGCATTGGCCTTCTACTTCCGCGTCCAGTTCTATGTGGACAGTCCTCTGCTGCTGCGGGACGAGACGACGCGCCAACATTACTACCTCCAGCTGCGGCTCAACGCGTCGTCGGCGGCGGCCGGGGAGCACTCAGTGCGGCTGGCCGCACTGGCCCTGCAGACCGATCTTGGCGATCGCAACGAAACATCAACAACCTACAGACCGGAGGATTACGTCCCTCCGACAATGCGGGAACCAGCGGTGCTGCGCGCCCTCGAGTCGGCCCATCAGGCCCTCAGGAACGTAACCAAGACGGAGGCGCGGACGCGATTCATCGCAGAGGCGTGTCTGCTGCAGGACCAGCCTATCAACGCGCACCTCTTCCGGTTGCGCGCCTCCAAGACGGAGACGTCTCCCGGCTCGCTCATGCTGGCCGTGTGCGCCAGGGGATTGAGGGTATGCCCTGACAACAATCCGCCTTCAATGTTCCTCTGGAGTTCCATAGGAAAGCTGAGCTTCGAGCGTAAGAAATTCGAGATCCGCACTGGTCATGAAAAGCTAACGCTGTACACCAGTAGCGACGAGAAGAGCCGACTCCTGTTAGCTCTGTGCAAAGCAGCTCATCAATTTAGCATGGCCGTGGCGCCACGGCTGAACGAGGCGAAGCGCGAGGAGGAGGAACGACAGAGGTGGAGTTGCGAACAGCGCATCTCCGTCATATCAAGTACCTCTTCGAACACGACTTCGGGTATAGTGAGCGATAGGGTTCATTCGGAGGATGAGTTAGAGATCATGATCACAAGTCCTCCGGCACAATCCACCGAGAGCCTGGCGTTGGCACATTTGTTGGACAGCGCTCCAGCTAGCAGCAGGACATCGAACGCTTCGGCCACAGTGCCACTACTATCGCACACTGTACTTGCTATTGCGGACGTCGAAGAACCGGACAACGTGAAGATCGGGACGTGCAGTGATAGTTCGACGAAGACAACAGCCAAGTTCGCCAACGGCTCGCAATGCAGCTCATCTTGCAGCACGGTCGTTGTAACTGCGCCAATGCAAACAAGTTAGTAATCAGCAAAGGCTCTCTTAAAACCGATTATTAACTATTTGTTTCTATTTCAGAAGCTAAAGGCCGAAGACCCTCCACTAGCAGCAGTCTAGAGCTAGGGTATTCGCACACGGCGCAGAACTCGGTGGTCAGCGATGCTACATGTATAGAGCTAGACAATCCTGCTGATCCAGTTTACACGTCGGGACCGGCGCCCAGCAGCCACACCAGCGGTGTCTACACTTTAAGCTCCAGCGAACAGTACAGCACAGTACCGAGCGCAGGGGCTGACGATCCTACGATTGAACAATTTGGTGCTAGTCTTGATGTGGATGATCAGGTGGATGGGGCCGGTAGCATTGCCGCCAGGTTTCGGGATCGTTCGAACTCGAACGTCAGCAACTCTGGTTCCTTCAGGGGCGACGGCAGTGATCCCACCGATAATCAGCAGACTTTATTGTCTGCTGAGGAGCTCTCAGATCTGATCGTAGGACGGTATCCGTCGTGTAAAAGTGTCAGCAACACGCTCGACTCTGATTCAGATTATGTGACGCTTCCGTCGACGTACCAGGGTTACGTTCCGGTACCGCCGAAGAGAGTTGATTCTGCGTTTCGATTACCGCCGCCACCATACGGTGCGCAAAGCTGTTTGGTTGGAGGTGGAATTGAGGAGACCATATCTGAGATTCTGTTGCGAGAACCGCCGCCCTACCCGGAGAGCTGCGTCGTGCCTCCTCCTGTTTATCCATCGGAGGAAGCCACAGCCAGATTTATAACAACCAGGTCTCCAAGTATCTTGACGGCGCAAACGAGCATCGTGGGTCTAACTTCATCTCCGAGTTATTCGAACTCGGTGGTGGGTGTGCCGCCTATACCGCCGAAGGTGCCCAGATCTATCAACGCTATTATCTCGACGAACAACTATTTGGACGTAGGTGCAAGCAAAGGAGTGTTGGTGCCGTGCACTTTCTTGCCACCGCCACCGCCTCCTGCTCCTAGGCAGCCTCCTCCACCTCCGCCGCCTCCACTAGCGACAGTTTACACCAATCAACTGTCCAGATCGCAGATTGAACAATATCAGCAGCAGATGTACAGCGATGTCGATTTCGTCGTGTTCCCGCTGAAGGAGCCCGCGATTACCAAGCAAGAGTATCTGGAGGCGAAGCAGGGTTCGCTCTTGGCAGCGCTGGCCGCTCAGCAGCCCTTGTTTTACAGCTCCACGCCTTACTTGCATCGTTACGCCTCCAGTCAGAACCTGTCCGATACTTACGTGCAGTTGCCCGTCTACGGTGCAGCACCTAGCATATCATCGACCGGAAGTCTAGATCCACCTCCACCGCCTCCGCCTCCTTTGCCCCCAAATAGACCGAACAGATTCCTGAGGACAAGGTCGGACGATAACATTTTGAACACTTTGGAGATGATGGCTACGCCACAGTATCCACCCAAATTCCGCAGACTTCCAACACGACCGCCGCCGCCACCTCCGCCGCTTCCTCCTTCCTCCACCAAAACCCCGCTGGACATCAAGACGTTACGCGAGAAATCCAAGAAGATGGACCTGCCGTTAATCGCAGCACTCTGCAACGATCGATCGCTTATCAAGCAGACCAAAGCATTCGTGATGCCGAAGCATCCGAACGACTTTGCTCCACCCGGAAATAGTTCGCGATCCGGAAAATATCCAGTTTCCGGCTTGAGCAGCAGACGAAAAGTCCCGACCGTCGCCCATCGTCATCCTGGCGATAAACTACCGGAAATTCCGCAGGAGAAACCCTCGCATCTGCAGCAACAGCAGCAGCCGCAGCAGCAGCGCGCAACCCCCAACAATTACGTGTTCACATCATCCGTTAAGCACACAAAACTGCAACAGAAACATTGAATCACTAGTTAAGAAACGACGAAAGAAAGAGAGGAACATAATTCCCAGTGCTAAAATAATGAAATACGCAGACATATATTTTTTTATTCTTTTTCTTTGAAACATAGAGGAAAGAAGGTAATAACTCTCAGGGTGCCATTTTAAAATTTATAAAATTAATTATAATAATAGTAATCGTCCATTCCCTCTTTATATTTATATATAAATATTGACAATTATTATTATTTCAATCATATTCATTTTATTTTTGTAATCGAGGTGTCGTTTGTGACCGACTGAAAAGAAGAGTGCAGTTAACTATTTTAAAGTGTTTTTTTTCTTTTAATTAATATTTTTTTGTACATATAGCCACATCATCATTTCCAATATTATGATTTCTATTTTTTATTGTTTACATTTAAGTTCTAGCAAAAACGTACTTGCTCAAACTGTTTTTTTTTTAATTATTCAAAATATACATTTTTTATGTAAATAAAAATAAATACACGTAGTATGGTTTGTTTTTGTTTTGATTGTCACGTTCCCAAGGCAACAGTACGTTGCAGTCATGGATCCGATGGTGGCAGCTTTAAGTAATTTCAGGAGGAAAAAGTACGATAAATGTGTTGAAATATGCACTCAATTGTTGGTAAAGCAACCTCTGGATCAGGCAGCATGGTATCTGAAGATGCGAGCTATGACGAAGAGGGTACATGTAGATGATATCGATGGTGAAGATGCTATGACTGAGGATCTATTCGATGAGAATGCGGTCGCTGCAGCTCCGAGACCAGGGACCAGCATGAAAACTACCAAAACTTTACCCATGAGGTAGTTAAGATTTTAGTTAGTTAGTGTTTAGTATTTAAGTTTGGATTAGTTCTAGGCCTGTTGGGTCTGCGGGTCGTCCTATTTCAGGAATCGCGCGACCCGCATCCTCTTTGCAACGACCTGGTTCATCCTTGGATCCGCGGATGAAGACTGCCAGACCAATCACTTCGCAATCCGCCAGAGCTATACGCTTAGGTACCGCGGCAATATTATCTCAATCTGATGGTCCCTTCATCCAAGTATCTCGATTGAATTTGGCCAAGTACGCAAGGGATCCATGCCTTGCGAAACCGCTGTTTGAATACATATTCTACGCAACGGGCGACGCTCGGGCTGCTCTGGAGTTGGCGGTGCAGGCGACTCAAGCCAATGAATTCAAAGATTGGTGGTGGAAAGTTCAACTGGCAAAATGCTACGTCGCTCTGAATTTGATCAGAGATGCGGAGCAACAGTTGAGGAGCGCCTTGAAGCAACAGTACCACGTGGAAACCTTTCTTAGATTAATTCGTGTATATTTAAGATTAGACCAACCGCTGTCTGCAGCTGAAGTATGCAAATCCGCTCTGGAGATCTTCCCCTTAGATGTGGCTATATTTACGGAGCTGGGGCGTCTAGGAGAAGCTTTGGGCGATATTCCTTCATCCGTTAAGCATTACAGGAACGTTCTCATACAGGACGCGACCAACGCCGAGGCTATAGCCTGCATTGGCGTCTACCATTTCTACAATTACCAACCCGAGTTAGCTTTGAGATATTATAGGTGTGAATATTTTGAAAACAAATCTATTATTATATTAATTTATTCAATTTGTAGACGTGTTTTGGCGATGGGAGCTCATTCCGCCGAGCTTTATAACAATCTAGGTCTTTGTTGTCTTTACTCCCAACAGCTAGATCTGGTGCTCGTGTGTTTCCAGAGAGCACTCGATTTGGCAACGGATCCTCTTATCAAAGCAGACATTTGGTACAATCTGTCGCACGCTGCTATCGTTAGTATTGTTTATTTATGATCTTAAGAATTCGAGCTGTATCAAATTCAGAACTAATTATAACTAGCAAACATATTTATTTTCAGAGCTCCGGTGACATAGAGCTTGCCTTAAACTGCTTGAATCTGTGTCTTATCTGTGACTCGAATCATGCCTCGGCATACAATAATCTTGCAGTACTTCAGCATAAGCTGGGTCGACCCTTGCTCGCGAAATCTTACATGATGACGGCAATTAAATTGGAACCCGATATGCCAGAGCCGCATATAAACTTAGAATTCTTGAAATCCAAGATATGACGCGGATCCGACCAATTAGAAAGCCCGGTCTAATTGTATAAGCACACATGCGATGATGCAATGTAATTAGAGAGTTATTGTTTCGAGTTAATAAAGAAACACATAAACGTTCATTTATTTTTATTTTTGTATCATGGTACAAATATGTTTGTATTTCTATTGCTGAGAGATGTAGATGTATTGATGAGAGAGTAGGCAACCGGTTGAACTTGTAGAAACACGGTTAGTTTCAAGTTATCGATTGGGCGTCGCGACGCTCGGTATCTAATAATAATAATTCGTCCGTCGATCAGCTGCTCGGAGCGTGGCGAGGCAGTCGAAAGATGTTGAACAATTAAAGCCAATTAATATCAATATCGAGTGTTGTAAACTGCCTTTGCTTGTTGCCGAGGATGGACGGATTTCTGCGCGTGAACGCCACGACCAGCGCGATGCCAGCATCTCCGACGAATCTCTTCCTGGCCGAGGAGGTCGCATCGACGTGCCCCCTGATCACGCCTTCACCTCCGACCAACGATCTGATTAATCCACCGCCAGATGAAAACCAACGCACCACGTTCATCATCGGAGAAGAACTAGCTAATAAACTTAAACACGTCAAAGGTAAATGTTATCCGCACACATTTTCAACAACTAGCATATAAACATATTCAAAAGTATACTATAAAAAAAGAAACATGAATTTGAAGACTCAATATTAATAAATATTGAAAAAATAATCAAAAATAAGAATGAGTTTATCGTTAGAATACAATTTACAGTATTTATTATTATTTTTCATCAAATATATATGATTTTTTAGATGATGATAAAGCGGCTGGCGATTCCGGATCTTCGAGTTCTTCAGTTCTGGCAGAGCCAGTGTGCACTCAGCTACTTAACCATCGCCATCACTACTCTCACATCACGAAAGATGAAAATACAACATCTCAGGTATTAAGCGATCGTTAAAATTGCGCAAAAAATCTACTTCATTGCTTTGTGCTTTTAGGAAACCAACGGAAAAGTGCAACCAATGCAGTTGACTTTCCGCAACCCACCCGATGATTACTTCTTTATGAAATGGAATTGGGTGTTAATCAGGAAAGTCTCCATATGGACTTTCCTCTCCGGTTTGATAGCCATGACAGCGTTGGTGGTAATGATGGTTGGATCATTGCCGAAGAGATGCAACCCACCAACCGAATGGTATCAGGGAGGACTGATGTATGAGATCTTTCCCGCAAGCTTCCACGACGCAGACAATGACGGTGTCGGCGATTTGAAAGGGATTGCAATTTATGCAGACTACATCAAACAATTGGGCGTCAGCGGCGTAAGGCTCAACTCCATATTTCCGGCTACACATTACCCGGAGCATTACAAAAACATATCAACGTTGTTGGAAATTGATCCGAAGCTTGGATCACTTCGCGATTTCAACAACATGGTTAATGCTTTGCATTTGAGGAACATCTCTATCCTCCTCGATTTTCCACTTTACCCGCACATTCAGAAGTTACCATCGCATCAAATCAGGGAATTTAATGAGAGCCAAGTAGAGGCTGGGGAATTTGCGAGGAAGAGATCTCTTGAGAATCCAAACTCTGATGAAATCAGTGAAGCCCTGCAGTTCTGGATGGAGTACGGAGTGGATGGGTTCTATTTTAAAGGGTTAGAGAATTACTTGGAGGATCCTCTTTTCGTGCCAAATTTGCGCAGATGGAAGAAGTTGGTGCGCGAGAATCCAATAATCATCGATAATGCCGTCTTGAACAAAGCTCCTATGGAATTGATGAATACTATCTTGACGAATGTCGATTTAGTCGATATTCAAGTGAAGATTGAGAACGGAGTTTCGGGTATACGTAATCAGTTGGATTCTATTCAAAACGGAACTCTGTTTTCGAAGGCTTCGATGCCGTGGATTCACTGGAGTTTAGGAAACGTAGATTCTATTCGTTTGGCCGATAGACTTCACTATGGTAATGCTACACTTGGTGCGATTCTTCTGCAGCTGATGCTACCAGGAACCCCATGCATTTTCTACGGAGATGAAGTTGGAATGCATCAGGTTGAGGATCCGGAGAACGATAGGGAAGATCTTAAGCATCTCCATCAATTGGGCGCGATGATCTGGGAGGAGCTGCGTTTCACGAAGAAAGGTTTGTTGCCGTGGATGCACGGTAAGCCGACACACTCGAATTTCAAGCAACTGGAGCTTGTCTCAAAGATGGCCAAATTACGTGTTCAATCGCCATCGATCTACGTGAATACCGTGCTCAAGGATGGTCAAAGCAAAGCGAATTCGGAGGTGAAGTACTCGCAGGGCGATCTTCTAGTTATACAGAGGTATTATCCGCGTAGGAAGAGCTTTGTCGTCGTCAGCAACTTGGGTGCAAATCTGCAAACGGCCGATTTATCTAAATTACTTTACACCGGCAACGTCATTGTCGGACCGAAGGTGGACTCAAAATCAGAAAGCATTTCGTTCAAGGAGATCTCCCTTTGGCCCGGAGAATCAGTCGTAATCGAACTCGATTAAAAATTTTAAAGCAAACATAACACTAGAAGTTTCATAATTGTAATGCGATTTATCAACAAATATACAAAACAACGATTGAAACCATAGTTGATTGTGCTGTTGCATCGACGCGGTCGCCGGAATTTACATTGTTTTCGCTTATTTTAAAAATTATTTGTTAATCATTTCTGAAATTGTAATTTGATATTATTGAAATAAATGTTGTTGAAATTAGTGATGTCAAATGTCCAATTTTAGTTTGATTTGATTTACGATCAGTCTCATATTTTCTACATATTATTAATTTTATATCAGCAAGTATGGCTACTAAGAAGTCAATGACGAGCGTAACGCGTGGACAATCTCGCATGCTGCGCTATACACAACTTTTGACACCTCTCGGAAACAGAGGTTTGCAGCAGGTGTTGACAGACTTCCAGATAACCAATATAAAGAAAGTCTTTTTTCGCGAGGAAAGCAGGCAATTGAACCAGGCACAACTCGAGAAGGCCATCAACGAGTGCGGCGGAATCAGCTTTGCGGATGGACAATTCGATGTACTCTTTCTGCGCATCAATATTAAACGGTAATTTGTTGTACAATATTTGTGCATATTTTTTGGCAGTTTTCAAGAAGTTGAGAATTTTAGGGATGGATATGTGACTTGGGATGAGTTTATATCCCACCTGATTCTGGGCTTCAAAATACAAGAGGTGAGCGATGAAGCCAAAGCATTGGATGCGCCTATTTCAAAGAAGCCACGGATGGTAAGGAGCAACCATAGGCATCCGATAAGCGTGATCACATTTAATTTCCAAGTAAAGTCGGACAGAAGTTGTTCGTATTCAGATGGTAGTTATATAACGTGCAGCAAGGACGGTTTCATCAACTATTGGAGTCTCGATCTGCAGGTTGAGCGAACCGTTCAATCCAAATGTCCAGACTTGAAAGTGACAGACACATGGGTGCTGAGCGTTGTGTGTTTGCCAGACGTGAGCGTCATCTGCACATCCAGCACTGAAAGGGATCTTAGGTTCTACGATACATCGGCCAAGAAATTCGAGTTAAGAGTGCAGATTACGTCGTTGGAATACGGCGTCTGCTCCATGTGCTACGTGTTTCAGAAGGATGTGAACGAGGATTGTAAATTAATCATGGGGGATATGGGTGGAAACATAATAATACTATTATTTTCGCCGTTGAACCGTGGCCCGTTCCGTAGCAAATTGGGTATACCATTGTTGCGTGTTCGATATGATGCTGTATTAAAGGGAATGGAACCGGGTTTTAGAATCGTAGAATTCAGGAGGTTGCACCGTGATTGGGTACGTCAAATCGAATATTATTACACGTTGAACTTCATAGTTTCGTGTTCGGTGAGTCATAAGGCCATCGTGATGCGTGATATCAATGAAAACAGGGGAATTTACACGTACTGTATACCAAGAGGTGCTTGGTGTTTCACAACTGCTGATGGAGCTGTGCTTATGGCGAGTGGTGGGCCAGATTGTTTGGTGCGCGTTTGGAATCCGTATGTAACTCGAAGACCTCTAGTAATCTTCCACGGTCATCATACTGGTGTTATATCACTGATAATGCAAGATAAAGGAGAGATCCTTTGTTCGCTCTCCGAAGATAAGTGTATCAAAATCTGGGATATCCCCAATCAGGCCTGCATGCAGACGTACTTGGGTTTGGGCGCCGAAATCGGAGAACATGCGCATTTTACTATGTTCTACAATCCAGATAGCAGGCAATTGCTAATCGGTGGTTTGATGATTGCAGTCTTACCATTGCGACCGCTTCAAAGCGGCGAACATACTGATGGTAACAGCCATTCAGCTGCGATAAGCGTGGTATTGTACAATCCACTCTTCAAGATAATCTTGACCTGCGGCTTGGACAGCAACATCATCGTGTGGGATCCGTGGTCGGGGAAGAGGATTTCTGTGGTGAAAGAGGCGCACACACGCATGTTACACGGCGAGATCATTCCGGTAGATATAACAGCAGGCACCTTTGATCCTGGCTACCAATTGCTTTTGACTGGTGCTTACGATGGTTCCTTGAAAACATGGAACTTCAACACCGGTACGTGCTTGAGGAACATGAGGATCGAAAGAAATTGCGAGGTTACCGGTGTGGTTTGGGTGAACGGTAGAATCCTGGCAGTAGGTTGGAACCGCCACGTAACTGAATTTTCAGACAGCGGCGGTGCTGCAGGTCCGGGTGGAGCATTCAGTAAGCCTTGGAGCACGCGACACTCCGATGACGTGCTTTGCGCTTCGGCCAGAATTCCACAAACGCTGGCTACCAGCACGTATAATGGGGAACTAGTTCTTTGGCAATTGGAGACGGGGCAACCTTATAAGCAGTACAATGTGGCCAATCCCACGGCTAGGATAAAGATCAATTACAATCTGGAAAAGGAGCGCAACTTGCAGAAACCCCACAAGATCTTAAAGAAGGGAAAATTGGTAACAGCCGAGGCAACACCACCGCCACCTCCTCCTCCTCAACCTTTGAATCGGAGGCGATCGCACCGTAAGAGCATCATAATGAAAGGACCGCAGCCCAAAATCGAAATGGCTTTAAAGTTCACGCGGATGCCCAAAGAGCTTGTGGTTCCTGACACGATAATGCCAATTCGTGGGCTTGCAGTGAGATGCATGCAGTTTCTCCCCTCACGGCCCATGCATCCTAAGGTTGGGTCTTTGCTGGTCGCATTAGAAAATGGCGATGTTCAGGTATGGTCGCATCACATAAGTGGTAGCTTCATCGGGGCATTCCAGGCTGTCCACGGCGTTGGTGATTACGTGTTGTCTATGGCTTCCGATTCAAACAACGAATACCTTTTCACCGGGTCCACAGAAGGTTACATTAAAACGTTTCTGCTGAAGGGCTTCTACGAAAATACGGAAGAGAAGATATGTATGCCCTTATATCGTCTCACCTTTCCGTTCTTGTGGAAGCGAATGTTCGAGGGTCGAGCGATGCGAACACTCAAAGACCAACACCGTCCTATATTATTAAACAGCTACAAAGCTCATCGATCAATCATATCTGGTTTGATCTACATTCACGAGAATCAGATATTAGTCAGGTATGAAAGTCAAATAATTTATTAATGTGATTGTTTATTAAAAAAAAATATTTAATAAAGTACCGGAGCTGATTACACCGCACGATTATGGACATTGGGCGGTCGATACTTAGGTACATTGGGCACGTTCAAACCATGGGACTTTATCGACCCAGATAAGGTTGTAGATACCACCTTCAAGTTAAAGATACCGCCGGACATCAGGAGGGTGATGAGTTCTACCACATGTCGAGTAAGAATGAATATTGTTTTCGTTTGGAGCGATGCAATAAATAAATCATATTTTTTTTGGTAGGTTTTGATGGGAGAACATTTCGTAAAGAAGTTGACGAAGAAACAGGAAGCGGCCCAAGCAGAGAAAGAACTTGAATACAAGGAAGGAACACGTGGCATCTACGGCAAACGGCTGGAGCATCCAATATTAGGAAACTACATAAATGTGCCAGAGAAGACGACGCACAAGTTCGAAATCAGCCTGGATTCAACATTCCCATATGTGAAAGAAACATTATTTTTTACATTAACAGTGGCGCACTTATGTTTGCTTTCTATTTTCTAGATTCCTGTTTACCAGCATTTGATTCGACCGGCGCCTGTGGAATTACCAGATATTAGTAATCCGATGAAGAAGGACAAGTAGTTTTAAAACAAATTATTTATTTATTCATATACACTTAAAAAAATCCTATAAATTAAAATCCTGCATCGTCTTGCATGCATCCATCATTAGTTTAGCCATCCTGTACTCGGGCTGCGACTCCGTCATACAGTTCAGACTGTTCGTTACCAAGTTGATGATACCTCTCAGATCAGTCGACTCGCACCAATCTCCGCCATTCTGCCAAAATGTTAAACACACATTAAATTAGCGATTCATTCAATCAAATATTTGATTAATTACCAGTGTGCCTAAATATTTGGTTAAGCTCGTACTGAAGGCGGCAATCTTACTTCCAAGGTCATCGCATTTGGCTAAAAGTTGGTTCAGGCGTCTGCCGGCGACGCAGACTAGCTCCGGTCCCAATTTGCTACGCTCTGTGACTGTCACCAGTAGTTCATTCCCTAACACATCAAAACCGTTAGAATAAATTTGCACCACTTGATACCTCTTCAACAGATCTACATCCAGATTCCAAACACGAGCCAACGCTATGCACTTGGCCATCCAAGCTACGTGGTCCGCTGAATAAATCATTCCGGTGCTCTCATCGAACGTTACAGTTTCCAATGTGGCAGAGATAATCTTTATTAGGAATTGTAACCGAGAAGCGGCTGTTTTTGAATCGCACTTGTGGTGAATCACATTCACTTTACCGAGGAAGTCGGAGAACAAATGCGAAGACACGGATGCATCGAACATGTTGCTGATGATTTTGCTATGCTTAACGGTAAATACGGTCATCATATGAATACACGTTGTTAGTTGAAAGTGTAGATGGAGCAGATCGTAGTTGATGCATCCACTTTGACCCAATGCAAGTTCTGTCAATGGTAAATTATTATTACCATTTTCCCAAATCGCCTCGTACTTCAAAGTCGGTTTCTGGTAATTGCAACTGTCACATAGAGCTTCCATAAATGAATCAAAAAATTCCGAGCACGTCTCCATGAATAGGGTGATCTGGTAATCGGTGAGATCGGTGTCTTGGCGACAAAGTCGCTCCGTAGGTAACTTGCCGACCTTGTTTATTAATTTGCAGGCGCTTTCGAAGAGTATCTTCAGGTGCGTGTTCCAAACCAAATTACTCAATCCGGCGCGGATATGTAAGTTTGGTATTTGGTTCAGACATTGCAACGCGGCTTTCAATAATCCTAAATTTTGCACGTTCTTTTGCCAACTCAGTGCATACTCCCAGCACATATTAGCAAGGAGAACCGAAGGTTCCAGACTGTATGGAAACTGCTTCCTAAGAACATTCAGTTGTTCGAATTGGTCTAATTCGTTCAGATCGTTCGCCACTAAATCACTAGGATTAACACCAGCCGCTGCCACCCATTGGGCAACGATTTCTCCAACTGACGCCTTCCCCTTTTCCAAAACAAATTTCAAACTTACATCGGTCCGATCTAGTTGCTCCAGTTTCGGTAGATCCCCGTTCGCATTCAATTTAATTGCTAGGATTATATTCAATAAACTAATATCTTCTAATTTTCCGATTAACAGCGTCCACTGACAGCTCTCTTGTGATAACTCCTCCCAAACATCGCCTTCAAAAAACTCCGGGACGTTTCTTTCCACCGTGCAAGCAACATTTTTGCAGAGGATCGCAGCCATCAGCGCTGGGAACGGTTTTGGAGAATCCGCCAAAATCTCTCTGATACCATTCCAAAACTCTGAAACCCTATTGTATTCAACTACCAAATCCTCTATCAACCCCTTCCTGGATGCTAACGCTAGCAAAGCTCTGCGGAAATTCTCCATTTCACGTTCGAGATCTGCATTCCCACTCAAATCTCTATGTATCCAATACACCAAAAGCAACCTGAATACGTCTTTAACATAAACGGGTGTTTCCTTCATCCGCGTGAAATCTTCGTCGGACCAATGACCGTTAATGTAAAACTTAAACATTTTTTCGGAAACTTTAAACAACTCCGCATCGCTTGCCCCGGATTTCAGTTTAATATCCGTTCTATTTCGATCGAAGACAACTAGAAAGTCGGAAAGTTTTATGTTCTGACTCTCCGGACTGAATTTGACTTTGTTAATTTGCTTCGGTTGATAGTAAGTGCTCAAGTCAAGAAGTCGCTGCAGATTGATCATCTCCCTCTTGTCCAGATTTAGATCGCTCTGTGCCACGTTTCCATTAGCCTCGTATTCGAGACTGTCCAAGTAATGATAGAACTTGCTCAGGTCTAGCAGGTTGATGCATATAGTTTTCAATTCCGAAGTTCCATCACACCGTTCGATAATGTTCTCTGTGCACGAGATCAAAATTTCCGGCGTGAGCTCTTTGCAAGACGATAGCATTTCAATGAACAATAGCTGTACGTCTTGCGTCTTTAGTTCGGAGCACGTATTCAGACATTCTTTCAGCAATTCCTCGTTGGTTTTATAATCGCCAGTTTTGATGAATTGCTTTAACCTTTTGTAAAGATGGACATCACGTGCTCGTTTGCTGTTCTTCTCGGTTAAGGAGAAGTGAAAGGGAATAACCACTTCTTTGATCTTACCGTCAGGGTCCATTAGTAAACATGTGTACTGGCAGATGAAGCGGGACTTGGTTGTAACTTGGAAACCCATTAGACCATGACCGATATACAGCAATTTACTTAATTTACTAGCGGTGAATGAGGCAATCTTAGTGCCTTGTTGGGCACCGAATATTTCGATAGATCCCTTTTTACCCGAATAAATAACGAGGAATAGGGCTCTGCGAGTTTTCCCTGCGCTCTTGCTCTTCCTCTCATCCCGCACCTGGAGGAATGCGCATTGAGCTTCGCGATATCCCTTGAATATCCTCAACACAATGCCCCTCTGAGTGTCGATGAGCAGAACTCTACCCATGCTGTCAGAGACTGCAGCCAATCTACGATCTGGAGAGAGTACCACCTGATTGGCGCATCTACGAAGATCGCACAAACCAAAGCGGCATCCCATAGGTTCAATGGGTTGCATGGAAATCGTCTGTTGTTTCTCAGTCACCTGGCTCTTTCCGCCTGTTAACCAACCTCTGCACATTCCAAAAATAATACATTTTTATCTTACTAAATTAATCTAAAAACAGCTGAGCTTACGGTAATGCCGATTTCAATTTATTCGCAACAGCTTTAGCCATATCGCTGAATACTGGTTGCGCGCCACCTTCAAGAGCGTAATGGAATCCCAAGAACGGCTTACTTCCAGCACCCAAAACCAACGTGTTGTGTGGTGGCATTGCTCTGTATTTAGATTCAAATCCACCGCAGGTAGATGCTGTCAACAAATGATTGAACGTGTTCGATAAATCCAAACCGGCGACTGTTGCATCGTTAACAGCCGCTTGATCAGTGAAACCCCATTTTTTTGGATTCAATAATTGGAGTAGATTCAATTCATCCACCATGCTCTGACCTCTGGCAAGCTGACTTCGAGCATTTCTCAGAGTAGGAAACAATTGTGTCCCACTGATAACACAAATATTACTTGGATATATCACATACAACTCCTCTGGTTTAAGTTCTCGACACACATCTGGCCTTGGACTATGCTGTGACTGACATTTCAGGGCAACTATTGGTTCATCATGCAACTGTTCACTGACCAATAATGTGCAATCTTCCATATAGAACCCCACTGTTCCTGATTCAAAACCTACTGTTATGCATGTCCAATCAGGTCCAACCTAAATAAAGCAAGTATTAATTGTACAAGGTATTAAAGTAACTAATTTTCACCTGTGAACTTTGGCTTTGGATGACAATGGGAAGACATAGCACAGACTTGATAGGTTCCTCTGTGCTTGCAAAACTGGATTCTTGGCTAGTGTGGAATTGATTGCATGATGTGCTGGAATCCCATTTACCAGTCAACACTGCTAATCTAGTGTTGTGTGCTAAAGCTAAAACATCACCCGTTGGTGACATGGAAATATGGCAGGATTGTAGCCATGACTCTGATCCTAGAATCAAAATATATTATCACAAAGGATATATATAAAAAAACGCATCACACCTCTATTATCATCAGTTGGAAACAGATGCCTTCTTACTGCTGGTACATCAGCTATGTTTGCAGTTAATTTTATTTGGCATGACATTTTGCCAGATATTGTATATGATTTTGTCTAATAACTAGAGGAACAGTAAATAATTAAAACTCAGCTGTGCAGAGCAATTGACATTATTCTAAAACAATACAAACAGACAATAATACAATGAAGTTGATCACAAAGAAATGTCAAACGTCCTGTATATTTTTACTTTAATCAATATAAAATAATTCACATTTCATTAGCAATAGCTTTATTAATTAGATTAATAATAGAATCTATTTAAATTACACTCAGGAAATAAATCTTTATCTGTATGTTTGGTTGCCGACTTCATTCTAGGCTTTGTCCAATATTGGATCCTATTAGATTTGAATAAAGTAGTTACTGTTTCAAATGCTTTGAATTGATTGGATTTTCTACCACAAGTAATTAATATAAATTATGAAACCAACCGACGTTTAGAATCTCCATGCAACTTTAATTTCTTGAAATTCTGAAAAGTTATATTTTTAATAATTTACATTAATTTTTTGTTGATAGATTTCGTTATAACGACCTTCTTTAAATATTGCACTTTTTCGATATACGGCCCAAAATATTTCGTTAAACGACCAAAAACAAATAAATGTCAATAAATGTTTATATCAAAATAATTGATTCGTTAGAGGCTTTTCGCTTTACAACTAAACTTTTGAGGAACGTATTTAGGCCGTAAAGTGAGGTATAAGTGTATTTAGATGAAATTACATCAAATCTATCTTTTTAACAATAACAGTTTATATATCTTTGTTTGAATGTAATGAAATCTAAAAGGCAAATTAAGGTGCTCCTCACTTTACGACCGAGTTCAGTTCCGACGACTACGTTAACATGATAGTTGTGCTCTTTGTAGCAGATTCAATGTTCAGAAAGCTCGATAGAAATGCTTCTAGCGTTATTATAGTGTTGAAGGAGAACAGCATCGCAAAATTCATTAGAAGACGGATCGTCCTGGTCATTAATAAATGTATGCACCTGAAGATGTAGATGAGGATGACACAGAAATATGGTTAAGTAGTGAGAAATGCAGGATGTATTTTGGTGATGGATCGTCGAACGGGTGCGATACATTTGACAGCAGCATTAAAAATTACTGCTCCATCTCCACTTGATATCTAAAAACGTAGATCCCTTGCAGGTTGTCATAGACCCCTGGGGGTCAATATACACCACTTTTGGAATCACTGAACTAAACGATGTGAAGAGTGGACGAAGAATAAATCACGCACTTCGAAGCAGGTAGTAAAATGAAAAATTTTAACTTCTTATATTTAAAACATTTGTTTATGCAGAAAGACTATGGCCGATAGACTTTTAATCGTAATAAATACATAAAATTTATAATAAATTAATATTAACTATTGAAAATAGTTAAGCAGTTAATTTCGTTTTTGATGGGTGTATCAATTTGTATTTAATTTTTATGGATATAAATAGAATGTAGGATTTTGTAAAGTAATAGACAAAATAATTATTAGTAAAAGAATGAAATAATTGTGAACATAATTTCTATAAAGCCTGTATGCTTTATAGAAATTATAAATATATTTTGTATTATATTTTTATTAAACTTTTTTATGGTGAAAACCGTTGCCGTAGGAAAGAAGTTTTCAGAAATCTGTTGTATTCAAAATTTAATGGTTTGCAAAGTTCACTTACAGTTTCACCATGTACCTGCTTTTTTCAACGCTTATAAAACTGTTACAATATGTACAGCTGTGAAATGATTTCAGTCTAATGAAATCTATTTATTAAAGTTTTAGTTATTAGAGTCTTTTTACTAAATTTTATATAATATAGTTTATTTAGATATTAGAGAAATATAAATAAACTCCAGGTTTTAGAATTTTATATATTTTTGTTTGAATGTAATGTAATGTAAATGGCAATTATTAGATAATTTTTAGATTGAATAGTAAAAGTTTTAGAATATTTGACTAAGATTTTAAATTTAAAATATTTCCGGACAATACATATATTGTATTCATTTTTAGATTTTTTTTACTAAATTTATATAAAAAAATGCATAGGCGTTGGATTTTTTTTTATAAACATATTATGTTAGTTACGGAATAATTTTAAATTTGGTTCGGGTTTTGCTTTAAATTCAATCAAAATTCTGGGTTTTATTTGAATGATTAACGATGGCTAAGAGGTAGGTGTTCAGGTTGGTGTAGAATGAAGAAAATCTGCTAATTGTTTTCTGGAATTAAATTGCAGTAATTACGAATGGATCAATCGAAACGCTGTGACCGTTGACGGTAAGAGTCCGTTCTTCGCGAAGGACGCGGCCAGCAAATTCACGTACACCGAAGGCGGTGGCATGGACAAAATGCAGTCAGCACAGGCGATGCAGAGACCCAACATCCCCGGCTACAACCCCAACAAGCCCATCATCTTCGAGCCTCCCTCTTTCCAGGGTACCGGAGGATTTCCTCCGCAGATGGGCGGTTTCACTCCCATGGACATGCAGCAGCTACACCAGCAGTGCCAAGCATTCCCCGCTCCGTACAGTCCCCAAGGCGCAGGACCAGCCTCTCAGGGTATGCCGCCTGCTTACATCATGCCTCCGCAGAACTACATGCCGCCTCAAGGCGCTGGAATGCAGGGACAATTCATGCCGCAACCTCAGATGCCGTTTAGCATGCCACCAGGTGGCGGAATGAACTGGATGTAAAATTTTAAAAAGTTGACACGTGATTGGGTAAGAACAAATCGCGGTTGCCATGAAAAAATCATTGTTTTTGTTGTTGTTGATTTTTCAATTAGTCCATTTTTTTTTGGAAACGTGTCTAAATTTCCAGTGTACAAGAACAATTATCATTATGCGTTGGTTCGTCGTTATTTAACTTCTTTTTAATATTCGCCAATCGATAACATTGATTTCTTCGCAGCCCCGTGACGAATTCCTGCTGTCCTCCATTCTTCTTTCAAAAACCGCCCGAACGCGTCGATCCTTGCAGTCCGTTTACTCCGAACAAAGCGAAAACTTGGAGAGGAGCGCCTGGATTGTACGTAAGTATTCCTTGTACATATTTCAATATTTTTCTCGTTCTATTCCATTGACATATTGTAGTTATTGGAACGGTTTGATAGATATGATAATTACTACAATAATTATAACATCCCGTGGAGGAATTCTGGATGTCCAAGGTTCGTTATTGTCCCACCATACACCGATACATAAACATTACATTGATTTTTCGTTGGGTTTCAGGAGGTCTCAAGATCCATGTAAATGTTGCCGTCAAGTGTGTTAGTTCTAAAATAATTTTAATATGAATAAATTATTGTAAAAATTTATCAAAAATTTCACTACTGATTTTTTAAAACTTATTATCTTAAAAATAATTTTAGAGAATTTATTAATATATTGGATTGTCCGAAAAGTTTGTGCCGATTTTCGATACATTGGTGATGCCTAAATACATAAGAATTGTACAAAACAATTTTCTTGTGTATATTCTGAAAGGTGACATTTCAATTGTCTTTAGAAAAAAAAAGTTTAATTTGTATCGGATTTTAGTACCCGCTAGAAGAAACAAATTGCATTTTAGATTTTCACTGTGTGAAAGTAAATCGATAAATTCAGAGCCGATGATTTCAGACACAAAAGTATTGATATGTAGGGCTGGGAACACGTGTTGACATGAACTTTTGTCTTCAAAGAAAATAAACGTGCCAAAAACTAATTAAAGTGCAAACATACATAAATGTTAACAGTAAAATATGGCCAACAAAATTGAGGAAAGAAATGATGGAAAGGACCTCCATTGATGATATAGAATTTACGGTTTTTCTGAGTAAAAAGAAAAATGCACGACACTATCAAAATGCAAACAGAGCCGACGTACGAAATGACACTTTTAAAATAATGAGAAAACTAGAGAAGAGAAATCTTGCATGAATTAGAACAAGAATCAAGAAACGATCAACGTCAAATAGTACAAAGTCACCAATATTGCTTCAACAAATATCAAAACAACAAACAGAGCCGACGTACGAAATGACACTTTTAAAATAATGAGAAAACTAGAGAAGAGAAATCTTGCATGAATTAGAACAAGAATTAAGAGAGACGATCAACGTAAATATAAAACCACAATATTGCTCAACAAAATAAAACAATAAAACAGCAAACAGAGCCGACGTACGAAATGACACTTTTAAAATAATGAGAAAACTAGAGAAGAGAAATCTTGCATGAATTAGAACAATAATCAAGAGAGGCTGAACGTCAAGAAGCACAACGTCAACCCACATTGTTTAAACAAATATCAAAACAACACAAGAAAGCCGACGTACGAAATGAACTATTAAAATAATGAGAAAACTTTCAGAGAAGAGAAATCTTGCATGAATTAGAACAAGAATTAAGAAACGATCAACGTCAAATAGTACAAAGTCACCAATATTGCTTCAACAAATATCAAAACAACAAACAGAGCCGACGTTCAACGTCAAATAGTACAAACTCACCAATATTGCTTCAACAAATATCAAAACAACAAACAGAGCCGACGTACGAAATGACACTTTTAAAATAATGAGAAAACTAGAGAGGAGAAATCTTGCATGAATTAGAACAAGAATCAAGAAACGTTCAACGTCAAATAGTACAAACTCACCAATATTGCTTCAACAAATATGAAAACAACAAGCAATTTACCAGTTATTAACTAAAAAAACAAACTAATTAATAACAACACTAATAAAAACACAACAACAAAATATAAAAACCAAAGACAACAACCACATGAAAATGAACAACCTAATGAAAACTTGAAACGAGTCAATATAAAATATAATGAAAAATCAAAATATCTTCCATTACTATTTAAAAACAATGCATATTATTTCAAGTAGAAACTTGGGAAATATATACACAGAATTAGAAACACTTGTAACAAATACAATGATAAAAAAAACTACAAAAGTGGATTGCAACTAAACACTTGGAAAGACAAAACAGACAAAACTTATTCTGTTATAATTAAAAATATATTAGAAGAGATTTTTGATTCTGCGGTCAGTTAGGAGAGGTATCTGATACAGATTTAAAAAATTAAGGGTAAAATTCATGGAAAAAATTAACATA